GTTTTAGCTTTATCTCCCTTCTCACCTCTCTGACATGAGGTGGGTTTTAACAGGTCACAAGATTTTGGAGATCAGAGCTTTCACGCAGATTAACACAACGATGGTATCATTAGATCAGCGTGTATTCTGACAATGCTGGGTTGTGTTTTCAGCTTTTATTTATGCATCTGTTCCAGGATGAATCTCAATGCTTTGAGTGACCTCCTGCAGTCCTTCTCTCAGTCAAAACCAGTTAAGGCTTTTTTATCGTTAGTGCTAATGAACATCCTGCCTCTATAGAAAATAGAATAAAGGCACAAATTGAGAAAAACTGCTACGGAAATCTCTACATCTTCCTCGTGTGGTCATCCACTCGCAGCATATAACCATTTGAAAGCACCTTAAAGCTTTTCATTGGTAATAAGGTTCGTGGTACGAGGCGAGATGAAGCCATAAGCTTTAAAACATCCATCACAGCGGGCTCACGTCTGCCTCCAGCTGCGGCTGAAATGTCTTCTCTCACTATCAGACATCGAGTCAGACAATCCCATTACAGCTTCCAGCATTAAAGCGCACATTCAGGCCAATTTAGGTGAGTAACTGCCCACCATCACACTTTACTCTGCACACGGGCTTTAGAGGCCGCGTTGGAAAAAACGAGAAGAAGGTCGCTGTTTAAAAATTGATATGAGATGAAGGGAGAGAAGGAGGAGGAAGTTTATGTGGTTTGCTGCAGCTCAAGGCTAATTTAAACTCCTCTATTTTTATAGCAGAACGGTATTTTTATTTCTTCTGTTCTGCTTTTGTCACTCGGTGTGTTTTAAATTGAGTATCTTCTTTGGATTAAAACGTCACGTCGACCATATCTCTGACATAATAACGTGTTTATTTCAGTGACGCGTCTAAGGGGAAAAACATAATAGCAGACATTATGTTGGTTTAAGCATTAAAGAGGTTTCAAAGTGATTTGATATTCTCGGCTCCATAAAATTGCTGACTCACACGAGACAGATTAAAAAAAACAAGAATGATGGTTGAAGTGAACGCCGCGGAGGAGGAGACATGCTGCCGTTTGTTCATTTGTCTGGATCGAGCACCAAATACTTGATCCTGTGTTTCACAATTCCCTCCACAAAGCTCACATCTTTTAAAAATCCTCCAGCTTGTCATGTAGACAACATCTTTATCTCAAACCCTCTCCATGCCATGATGACGTTAGAATGGTTACAATACTGTGTATGAGAGCTGGACGCTTTGATATAGAACTGAAGCCAAAGTAGTAGCATCTTTGGCTCCTTTTCTTTGAGCTGTTTTGAGTTTATTTTCTGATCCCTAACCACTTCCTGTTTCCGTTGTTAAGTTCATGTTGTAACCTTCCATCTACCAGAAGATCCTTACATTAGTTTCAAAATAAAAGCATGATTGAATTCCAACTGCAAGTAAAGTACTCTCAGTTTAAGACAGAAAAAAATGTCAGAATAAAAGCCTAAACATTTAGATTTTAATGTGAAATAACAGAATTTCAAAAATGCGATTAATCACGATTAACTATTGAAATGTTGGGATTAATTGCAAATAAAAAATGTAACACTTTGACAGCCCTAACTTTTGCAAGACTTGAGGAGGCAGAGCAGCGTTGTCCATTAGATTGGTTATGGTTTAATCTAGCTCCATCAGAACCATCAAAAAACATGTATTTTTTGGTAAAATCTATGCTCTGATATTGTAGAAAATCTAACAAAATACACTGTTGATAAACATTTGGCAGAATAAACAGAAGAAAGGATATGAGGGTGTAATGTACTCTAACATTAGAGTTTTGAAAACACAACACAACACTGTTTATACCAGAGAGAGGACTACAACGTCACCTCTTTCCTGTGCAGCTTTCCATCCATCTTACAAATTTATTAAGTGGCGAGCATCAATCTCCTGTCGGTTCAGGTCATTCTTTCTCTCTCTGCGTCTCTCCCTCACCACAACAATCCAATTAAACCATGAAAACATCTCATTCTTTACAGCCAGGGAGTCATTCAGGCCGGATAAACACACAAACAAGACCAGCGATGAACATCAAGCACCATCGCTCACAAGTCTGTTTTTCCCTCCTTTAAAGGGAAACAGAGGGAGGGGGGGTGATGAAGGTAGAGCTACCCAGCTCTGAGGCTCTGTGTTTGGGGGGGAGGAGGGGTCATAGGGTGAATGTTGAGTCTCTGGAAGTCGCCGCAGGCTCGCTATTTCTGAGCGAAAGGTTTCCAGGAGACGAAAATCAATGTTAATCTGAGGCCACCTGGGCGTGTAAACAGAGCCATAATGGAACTGTATACACCCACACACACACACACACACCCACACACAAACACACACAGAGGGTGATACACACCCACAAAAGACAGGAACACACAACAAATACACCTACACACACACACAGTTAGTGTCCAGGGATCATATGAACTGTAGACGAAGGGTTTTGCTTTCTGTTCGCTCTGCTGCAGGCGATCACAGAGAATGACAGGATGAGTCCCAGAGGGAGAGGGAAGAGGGAGCGAAACATCCAAAAGAGGAGGAGTAAGAAGGGGAATGAAAGAGATAAGAAGGTAAACCACGACAGAGGGGGAATGAAGGGATTTCCCCCGCTTTAATTCTGTTCATCCCTCCAGCACGGTTTTCAATCTGAAGGTTTATGCTGGATCAACAGCGTACTGAAACACTTAATGATGGATTTATAGAAAATGATAAAAGAGAAAAAAAAAACTGACTTAAGTACACTCATCATTTAGCTGACGTCCTCATGTCTACACAGCTAGGGTCAAGGTTACATTTGACGGGAGTTCTCTATTGGCAGATCAGTAATTCACTTTTTGTTATCTTTTAATATTTGATCGCAGTATTGCCATAAACTGTAAACATTAATGGATGAAGCCTGAGTGACGTCAGTCATCTGTTCCTGCAGGGGGCTCTGGAGGTTCATCAGCAGCAGCTGCCATGTTGTAAATCCTATCTCAGTCTAACTTTCAGTCAACCTAACGACAGGCTGAGAGCTGGAGCTGAGGCGGGTTTTAAGCCTCTTGAAGATCTGTTACATCCCGCCCACCTGTCAATCAGGTCAGCTACACGCTTAACTATGGATAACATGTATCGTTCATAAAATCAAAATGGAGCCATTTTAAAAAAAATTCTCCCCCTACAGTGTGTGCCAGTGATGACAATGACTAATCAGACCTATTTGTTTTTTTGTACTGGGCTGTAACATGTAAAAACATGTTTTTTGGCTGTGGTGTGTATGTGACCCCCGGTTGTTCCTGGAGCCAGCCTCAAGTGGACACTTGAAGAACTGCAGGACATTGCACTTCCGCATTGGCTTCATTTTTCTAGACTGGAGGTTGCTGCCTGAGTAGTGCTTGCTGTGTGGAAACCCCCCCACTCTGTCTGTTAACTATCTGATGCTAACTAGCTATCCCGGAACTTCTGCTAATTGCTACCTGCCGCTAGCTTCACCTCCTGTACTTGCCATGTCACAGTGAGCCCTAATGGCCCCCCATGTGGACAACTTCCGTCTTTCTACTACATCACTAGATTAACATATACGATATGCAGACTGTTTTTTTTAGTTGAAGTTACTTCAAAGCTTGGTGTCTCATGACGACAAAGGGAACCTTTTTGTGATTAATAAAACAGAAACCCAGCTGTGTGTAAAGATGTGTTTGGTGATTTAAAGGTCTGTGAGGGAGGCTTACTTTTGATATACTTAGCTTTGGATTTGAAAAGTTACACAGTTAACGTTCTGACCTGACGCTGTTGCTTGAGGAAAACCTCAGGGGATCAAATATTTCAAAAGTTTGAATCGTCTTGGGAGCACATTTCAAGGCAATTCACCGCGAGGTTGCCATCTCAGGAGCCCTCTAGCATCGCTAAACATAGACAGAACTGAGAAGAATATGTGTACGTGTGTGTGTATATGTGTATGTGTATGTGTGTGTGTGTGTACGTGTGTGTGTGTGTGTGTGTGTGTATGTGTATGTGTGTGTGTGTGTGTGTGTGTGTGTGTATGTGTGTGTGTGTGTGTATGTGTGTGTGTGTGTGTGTGTGTGTGTATGTGTGTGTGTGTGTGTGTGTGTGTGTGTGTGTGTGTGTGTGTGTGTATGTGTGTGTGTGTATGTGGGAGGGTGGGCTAACATACAGTGGACCAACAGGTAACATAAAGATAGAGAAAAGAGAGGGAGGTCAGTCCAGATCAGACCCAGCCCTCTGGCTAATGTCAAGGCTACTTACAGTATATTCTGTCTAAAAATGCACACGCACACACCCACACACACACAGAACAGTGTAGCAGCCTGAGGCTAACACATTTAGCTTGCTTGAATAAAATATGAAACAGAGTGCAGCGGCTCAGCAGAGAGAATCCGGCTTAAACAAAGAGTCACAAGAATCTGACTAAAGAATAAAAGACATGTAGGATGAGCTGCAGAGTGGAACCAGACAAGGAATTTTTTGAGAAAATAGGAAAGCAGCCGTCTTCTCCGGGACAAGGCTCATTTTAGATGGACTGAGGGTGAAGTGGAAAACTGTGATGGGGGCTAACAAATCCAAATTTGACTCTTTGGAAATCTGTGATTCCCCGTTCTCTGGGCTAAAAGGTAGAGGGACCATCCAGCTCATAATCAGCGCTCAGTTAAAAAGCCAGCATCGTTAAGGTATGGAGGTGCATTAGTGCACATGGCATGGGTGACCTGCAGATTTTTGAAGGCGCTAATAATGCTGAAATACTGCCAAACAGACAACTTCTTTTTCAAAGATGGCCCGGCTTATTTCAGCAAGACAATGCCAAACAAGCTCTGAAGTGAAAGCGTCCGAGTGATAAACTGGCCTTCCTCACTTGTCATCTCGACATGTTATGTGCCCCTAGTCCGTCTACAAACCCCCCAATTATGAGATAAGTCCATCCTCTTCTTTTGCCTGCTCCACTTTTCAGAAACGTTATAAACGGGTCTCTGATTTACAAATCATTCAGGGGAACTTACTGGACTGCGGTAACATGGACGTGTACACCTTGGGGTCGATGGTCCCCATGGGTGGTGGCAGCAGGGGGTTGGTGAAGCTTCTTAGAGGGTGGCTTGGCCGCACACATGCCGTCGGGATGGTCCGTCCGCTCCCAGCTGCGACCTCATCGGCTGCAGCTCCGCCGACAGCAGCGGGGGCCCCCGGGACCGGACCGACCCCGGGAACATGCTCCACAGACGAGGCCGAGGAGCCGGGCAGGAGGGGTGGAGGCTGCTGAGGTGGAGGCTGCTGCTGGAGGAGAGGGTTGGTGGAGGCGTCTGAAGGCATCGCTAGGGGGAGGAGAAGAAGAAGAAGGAGAGCGGGAGTTGTTAAGTGGGAACAAAAAAAAGAAAAAGGGATTGTTAGGGAGGACAGGAAAATGGAGACAGAGGGAGGGAAGGACAAAAACAAAACATCCAATTATTGTGAATCACGGCGCCGTTTGTCGAGAGCCACGCTCATTTGGAGAAAAACAGCGAAAGCATCAAGAAACAAACAGCTAAACTTCAAACGTGTTAACCCCTCTGCAACAAATAGCTCAGAGTGTTTCCTCATACACATTTTTCGGCTTTCATGTAGGAAGTAATGCGCTGCGAAAATGTGCCACAATTGTGTAAATGGCTGCGGCTGCAGGAAGGCCACAGCAATGAGAACGTGTTGTTTTCTGAAATATAGCCTGCGTGGATGTTTGGTTGTATGTTTTATGACCTGTGTGGGGCTGCAGAGAGAGATGTGAACTGCTCAGTGGATGAACACATACAAGAAGCCAGAGAAATGTTTTTCTGCTTTTCATCAAACCAAAAAAAAGTATTTTTCTTTAATTGGCACACCGACAGACTCATAGATGTTTCAAACACAACTCCATAATGTAATAAATTCAATTAAAACTTCAACTTTCTCCCCCTCGTGCATAACGAAACACTGAGTTCTGCCAGGGTTGCAGATTTATTCTTCTTTTACTTTGTGGAATTTCTCGCTGGTGTGTCTGCGTCGGCTGTGAGAAATTCCATTTTATCTTGTCAGAGGAACATGTGAGAGAAAGAGGAGGAGGAAGAGGAGGAAGATGGAGGAGGAGGAGCTGAAGAAGAAGAAGAAAAAAAAAAAACCCTGACAGAAACACGGCTCTGATGTGACATGAGAGATGAATCTGCCCGTGTAGCTACAGCCGCTGGGATCAGAGCGAACACGGACAGCCGGTAATTACATGTAGAGTCACTGTGAGTTTATTAACCGGGCTGATATAAGAGCTAAGAAAAAATGTGGAAGAGCTGAAAGAGACTCCTGATGACTCGAGGGGAAGTGGATGAGGGGAGAAGTAGAGAGAGAGAGAGAGAGAGAGAGAGGCTGAAGATGAAGTGGTGAAAGAAAAAAAACGGAGGAAACAGGAATAATAAATCAGAGAACGTTTGACGGCAAAAAGACAAGCTGCTGAAAAGTTCTTCAAGTGTTTGTGTTCCTTCATCCTTCAAGTGTAACGTAGAGGTTTGTTTATATCTGACATATTTGTGTTTAAGTTAGAGGAGCATTAAACCCTCTGTGTGTTTGGTTTGTTGTCTCATTTGGACAGGTTGAGTGTGCACAGAAAGCACTCCTTTAGAGCAGTGGGTTTTCAACTGGTGAAGGCAAAACATATAAGAGTCCTGCATACTCAGGGAGAAGAATCTGAGAAGAAAAATACGAAACAGCATCAAATAAGTGTAAGTGTAATAACCGGAGGATATACCCGTTAGTTTAATCCGCTCTGGTTTGATCTACCTCCACTAACCCTTCCATTAGCGCCGCCCACCTCTAACCTCTCCATCACGTGTTGTATTTGAACACAGACCTCATCTCCACCCCTGCAATGATGGGAGGCCACAGAGAGCACGGGGTGATTTTTTCTCCCACACTTAACGGAAGATGAAAAATGTGTTTTAGTGACTCACAATGGAGCTCAATGATAAGCAATGAATATTTCTGTATGTATGTGAAGAGAAAACAGATCCAGCAGTTACTTTGAAGTAGATTTTAACAGCAGAGAGGAGCAGTGAGTATTTGATTATCTTTGTTTGCTCCTCAAAGCAGACATGTCAGCTCCTGGTTTTCTCTGGTTTGAATTCTTAAAGGCAGGGTTGGTCATTTTCAAAAACTAGCATGATTTTAAAAAGTAGCATTCCCTCAGTGCTCCGTCTGCACCCCCTCCCCTCTGTGCTCCCTCTAAAGCCACGCCCCCTCACTTACATGCACGAGCGCCATTGCTCCAGAAGCGGACCTCAGCTCATCTCTTTCAGTGTGTTAGTCAAGTGCCCGCAAGGTGTAGAGAATGAGCAGGGAGACAGGGAGGCCTGTGATTGGTTCATCAGGTTGGTACCTCGTGGCAGACATTGGTCGAAGTCTTACAACTGTTACAGATGACGGATTTTCTTTGTTACGTTTTCAGAGCACACAAGTTATTAATTTCTGTCAGGACCTAAAGACAATTTCAACCAAAATCTAAAAAAGTGGATCTGGAGGAAATTACCAACCCTGCCTTTAATGTTTCTAAAACAACAACATCCCGAGACCTTTAGAGCTCTGATCCGTTCTGATTTTCAGTGGACATACTTTGATCAGTTGTATTTTCCACTAACGATCGTCTTTCAGCCTGTTTCACTGCTGCAGGCTGAAATGATCCCAAACCCGTTTTGTAGACACCGTGTAGTGTACTGTGTTCATTTAAACGTATTTCAAGCTAGAAACATGGAGATGGAAACACTGAAACTAAAACTGAATGTGCATGAAAACCAAATCTATGAGCCACAGGAGGCTTCAAAGCTTCATAAATCTAAGTTTGATCTGCACAGCTGTTGATTATTCTCTGTGGGTTTGTCTCTTCCACCAGCGTCACCTTTCATATGACACATGTATCGAGTACTTCCAGCTCCTCTTTGAAGCCAGAGCACACGATTTACTCAGAGGGTAAATGAGACTCCTGAAGGCTCGCATCGTGCCATCAAGAGGAAATATATCTCACCCCCGCTGCAGAAACATGTGCTCATCATTCAGTCAGACATATCTTGGCATCAGGAACTCTTGAACTTCAGAAAGAATTTCAGAGACACGTTTGTTGGTTTGAATGAAGTTTGGACCAAAATCATGATCACCAGAGAATCAAACGAGGCAGCGATGCGTTCTGTTGTGTCTGTTTTAATCCGTGTTTGTGTGTGACTTTGAACCTGATCTTTTCTCTCTCTGCGAGTCTCTAGCTAATTATACCCGCCTCTGTGTGTGTTCTGCCAGCAGAGATCGACCCCCCCCCCCTGCTGTGTCGCTTAATTCAATGACTCTGAAGCCTCTCGTCGTCTCTCTGTGGTTGTTAAATCACCAATACAAGCCGACCAGGAATTAGCCAATTACTGAATTACTGAATTATTGCTCCTCGCCACGTCGTTTAGCATTTAGCTCTGCAGCAGAATGAGGCTTCAATCCAGCAGGGAGGGGAGGGGGGAGGGGGGAGGAGGGAAAGGAGGGGAGGGGAGAGAGTTCTGGAAAGATGAAGATGCTGCAGTGGGAGCACTATGCTGCATTTGTTAAAGGTTAAAGTAGTATAACAATAATTATCATAATTATACTCTGTACTATTCCATTATTAACAGCCGCAGTATTTCTTGCATGAACATCCCGAGCTAGTAGTGACTCAATAATCACCATAATATCAGAATGTCACAGCGTTTGGCTGTAAATGTTTCTGTTCTCCCAATAATCATCGTAAGGCTGCAACCATGAACCGACAACGTCAATAAAAATTGGTTACTCAAAGTTAAGGCAATGAATTTTGACGTTTAGAGAGATTATTCCGGCCCTCGCCGCGGTGCAGGGCCGTGTATGGTAAAGTTGAGCGGAGGGTTGAATAGCACTTGATCAACTTAAAGCTGTGCTGAAAGGAGCTGTGTAAATAAACTTTATTTATCAAAATGGTGATGATAATTTGACCATTAACAAACATAATGAGGAGAAATGTTCATCAATTTCCGTTTATTCATGAAGAAGAGGAGTCGACGGCGAGCTAAAAATAGATCTTTGATCATAAAAACTCAGACAAATCCTAAGTTTTGTTTTTGGCTCAGAGAGGAGGCGTGATGGTTGCAGTGTGGTGTCAGGCTGTCGGACATTTAAAATCCAACATGTTTCCACCACTGTGTCTGTCTTCTCTGTCTGTCAAATACAAGCAGGAGAGAGGAGGGGAGAGATGTGTGTGTGCTGCAGGCAGAGAGCAAGAGGAGCAATTGTGTGTGTGTGTGTGTGTGTGTGTGTGTGTGTGTGTGTGTGTGTGTGTGTGTGTGTGTCAGTGAATAAGAGCAACAGAGAGAAGGCGAGCTGACTCGACAACAGGCTTTAACGAGCTAACGATAGTCTGGCCAAGCAGTGAGAGACTGAAGTGTGTACGGTATCACAATATCAATAACCTTTGAAGGCGACGGCTTCCCTTTAATAAAAAGGTCTAAAGAAATCTGTAGCTCTTCTGTGCTAACATGAAGCAGGGGAAGTAGTTAAAGTTCTCATATAAAAAAGGAAAACAGCCAGTCATTAACAGTTTTTGAGTAATATACCTTTAGTGTGTCTTTGTCTCTACAGTAGTATCACCAGTGTTATAGCAGCAGGAGTAAATTAGTAGTATTGAAGTATTGCAGTACCTGGTGTGTATCCTCTGTCCACGGTCAGGCTGGGGAAAGGCATCGGTCTCAGGCTGAACTTGTTGTGAGTGAAGCCGCAGGAAGGTGAAGGCAGGATGCCCGGGTACTGAGAGGAGTCCAGAGCCGGCACTGGGATGGCACTGACCACCGCTGAAACACACAGGCAGAAAAAAAAGACGGTGAAGAAGAAGAAGAAGCGGGGAATCATCTCGGAGCGTGGCTAAAAAGTGGAGGTTAAACAGCCAGAGAGAGAAACACTGACCACCACTGAAACAGAAAGCTGACTAAAAGGAAGAAGCTCTAAGACATTAAACAGTCTGCAGGATAAAATCAGTTAGTCATGATGTTAAGCAGAGTCTGTCAGAAAGGGATTCACAGAATTATACCACAGCTGATACAGACAGTCATACACATAGATTGTTTAGTAAGTGGCCGAGGCCTCTGACTCACAAGAGGTTTATGGAGCCTTTTTGCAGCTTCCTGGTCAAATCACACAAACGAAAAAAACATCTAATCCTCCGTGCAAATGCAACATGTTGATTGCAACCCAAACTGTGCAGAAGGCGCCACAGCACCAGAGACACGTTTCTCTCACAGACTCTATAACTGAAAAAGTCTTGTATGTTAAAACTAGAAACAGGCAAAGAGGCTACCAGCTACAATGCACCCTCTTGCAGTCCTATCAGTCACTGCCCTAACTATGCATAACGCCTACTCTTCGTTAAACAAAAGTTTTTAAAGTTTTTAAAAAAACAACAACACCCGATAAGACTCAGCTCAGACCAAAATGTGTTTGTTTTTGTTGTACAAGGCTGTAAACATGTTTCTGTTGCAGAAATATGTATTTCAACATGTGTGTGTTTGTGACTAGTGCGTCTTTTGCAGCCAGCCTCTAGTGGACACTTGAGGAAGTGACGTTTTTTGCACTTCCGCATTGACAACTTTTTTATAACAGTGGATGTTGTTGCTTGTTTTTGCTCTGTTGTTCAAGCTGCTGCTATCAATTATATTTGAATTTGCCCCCCTGGTTGTATAGAAGTAATTTCAGGTCTTCTCCAACACAGAATGATTCTCAATATTAAATGATGGTCCAGCATTTCATTTTAAAATGAGGACAAACAAGGGTTTGCTTTGTTTCGTGACAAGCTGCTGCCTTAACAACCCGTCCAACTTGCTTGTGGAAATGTGATCACTCATCCCTCCAAAAATACTGAACTCGGGGCTTCCAAACACAAGTTCACAGACCAGTGGGTGATGTCATGGCAGTTATGTCTGATTCTCGTGTACAGTCTGGTTTTTTTTTTCACACACAGTAAACGAGAGAAAAGAGCAGAGTTTGCTACAGTCAGTCTGCACTCAGAGAGGAGCAGAAACAGAAGTTCATGTGTGACCTTGAGAGGAAACTGCAGGGAGTCGAACTCACGAGACACTGCCTCAGGTACACACACACACACACACACACACACACACAGAGGCACTCAGGGAAGGGGGGCTCATATCTTTGAAAACAGGCGGCAATATGTGTGTGTGTGTGTGTGTATTTGTATGTGTGTGTGAGTGCATCTTCAACCTCTGCAGCCTGGGTTTAAATTATTCTGTGTTTTACTTACAGGAGCATCTCTATAATATAACGATGTGTAACAATGAACAGAAGCTGCAGGGAAACAGAGCGCTCTCCTCTTCATGTTTATTTATAATCCACTCACTGGAGTGCGCTTTGGTTCTCGTTTTATTTCATGTTAAAGTGGAGTCACAAACGTGCAGCAGGGGATGTTTGTAGTTTCCCTCAGGGAGGGAGGGGTCTCTGTGGTGTGTCACCTCGTTATACAGGACCCAGTTCTTAAATTAAAGGTGAGATCAGACCCCCTTAAGGTCTGTGAGGGACACCATTCATTGGCCACACCCCCAACTGTACACTTTACACCATCAAACATCAAGAGCGATCAAATGAATACACTTAATTCATCAGTTTTTTACATTGTAACAGGTATCAATAAGGATTTTTGTAAATGAATCCCTCATCAAATGTAGGAAGGCAAGTGAGGCTGAGGAAGACAAGGAGGAGGAGGAGGAGGAAGCTGGATAGGAGAAGGAGACAGGGGGACAGGGACAGAAGGAGGCTGAGGAGGAGGAGGAGAAAGAGGAGGAGGAGGAAGAGGAGGAAGAGGGATAGGAGGAGGAGGCTGAGGAGGAGGAGGAGGAAGAGGAGTAAGAGGAAGAGGAAGAGGAGGAAGAGGGATAGGAGGAGGAGACAGGGGGACAGGGACAGAAGGAGGCTGAGGAGGAGGAGGAGAAAGAGGAGGAGGAGGAAGAGGAGGAAGAGGGATAGGAGGAGGAGGCTGAGGAGGAGGAGGAGGAAGAGGAGGAAGAGGAAGAGGAGGCTGAGGAGGAGGAGGAGGAAGAGGAGGAAGAGGAAGAGGAAGAGGAGGAAGAGGATAGGAGGAGGAGGCTGAGGAGGAGGAGGAGGAAGAGGAGGAAGAGGAAGAGGAGGCTGAGGAGGAGGAGGAGGAAGAGGAGGAGGAGGAGGAGGAAGAGGAGGAAGAGGGATAGGAGGAGGAGGCTGAGGAGGAGGAGGAGGAAGAGGACTAAGAGGAAGAGGAAGAGGAGGCTGAGGAGGAGGAGGAGGAGGCTGAGGAGTTCTCCTTTGCCTTCGGCCTCTTCTTTTTCGTACCCGCGGAGGTCTGATTCTTCTGAGCGATGATCAATTCCAGTATTGATTGAAGCGTATTGATGATTTGTAAGCAGCAGATTGCTGTTGCTTGAGGAAAACCTCAGGGGATCAAATATTTCAAAAGTTTGAATCGTCTTGGGAGCACATTTCAAGGCAATTCACTGCGAGGTTGCCATCTCAGGAGCCCTCTAGCATCGCTAAACATAGACAGAACTGAGAAGAATATGTGTACGTGTGTGTGTGTGTATATATGTGTATGTGTATGTGTGTGTGTGTGTGTGTGTGTGTGTATGTGTGTGTATATGTGTATGTGTATATGTGTGCGTGTGTGTGTGTGTGTTTGAGCTCTGACCATTTAAAGAGAAGCAGGGTTTGATTACAGCAGCAGGACTGACCAGAGATGAGCAAGCCTGATCGATAGCTTTATTGATGGATAATATTGATTATTTTGGTGCAGCAGGACGGCAAGCTACAGGTTAATGGAGATGTGTTGTGTGTACTTCTGTGTGTCTTTGTGTGTGTGTTACACTATGTGTGTATGTTTACGCCAAAGACAAGAGGAGACAGACATTCAGAGAGAAATGAAAACATCTCTGCTCTGGACATTTTAGAAACACACATGATATAATAAAAAACTACAGAAATATAAAGTGATGGATCAATGAGAAGACAAAGACAGACAAAGGAGTGAATTCATAATTAATGGAGATAATAAAGAGGGAACATAGAAGAGACAGAAGGAGTTCGGAAGAGATGATGCAAAAGAAAAAGGTAGAGACGGATAAAAAGGAGGATTCCAGCAGAGAGGAAAAAGCAGAGACGCTGAGATAAAATAGAGTAATGCATTAAAGCTGGATAAAAAGGATGAAGACACAAGTGAATTGGAAAAACAACACTAGTATGGCAGAGACAAAACCTGAGTCAGATGGATAGAAACAGAGAGCAGACAGCAGACACAAAGAGATAAAAAGTGAAGGTAGATAAAGAGATGAGCCGGCCGTCGTCTGCTGGGCTCAGATGAAAAAAAAAAAAAAAAAGAAGCCCTGAGCGGCTTCAGTGGAAACAGAGAGAGACACGAGTAAAGATAGAAGCCGAGCCTGCAGGGACCGGAGATTTCACACTCAATCAAATAATCAGACATTAAAAGGGAGGAGCGGCAATATGGTTAAATTCTCTGACCCACAAAAAAAGGATTCCTTTTAAATGCTGCAACATTTCATTCAGATGTTCCTTTGTTCCAGCAATAGTCAGATATTTTAAACAACATTTAGAGTTGAGGTTCTGATTCATGGCTGTAAACGTTATCTTAAAAGGTTTCAATGGTGTTTGTTATTTATGTGATTGTACCATAGACTGTAAATATTAATGGACGAAGCCTGAGTGACGTCACCCATCTGTTCCTGCAGGGGGGCGCCGGGGGTTCATCGGCAGCAGCCGCCATGTTGGAAATCCTGTCTCGGCCTAACTTTCAGTCAACCTAACGACAGGCTGAGAGCTGGAGCTGAGGCGGGTTTTAAGCCTCTTGATGAAACGTTACACCGCGCTCACCTGTCAATCATGTCAGCTACACGCCTAACTATGGATAACACGCATCATCATGAAATGAAAACTGATGACTAATCAAAAAATTCACACCCCGTACAGTGTGTGTGAGCTAATCAGACCTATTTCGGTTTTTTGAACCAGGATGTAAACATGTTAATCTCTGCTGTAAAAACAGGCTTTTTTGAATGGGTGTGTGTGACTTCCTGTGCTTCTGCAGCCAGCCTCTAGTGGACACTCGATGAACTGCAGGGTAATGCACATCCGCCATGGCTTCGTTTATCAACATGTGAGGTTGCTGCTTGGATCATATTGTTTGTTGTGTACATAAATTGACTAGGTTGCAAATGAGTTTTCCTGCAGTGGATTAATTAAGTTTTCTAATCTGATGTAATCTCCTTTCTGTAACGAGATATTTCTTTGAACACTTCCTTTATTTGCCTTTGTCTGAATATTTGATTGAATTTGGTGTGAAAACATGTGTGAAGTGAATTTAAACATGACACTTACTGAATGTGAAATGGATATTCATGGTGTCCAAATGTTTTAATTATCAGGGTTACTTTAACCCCCTGAGTTTTCATATTTCAGAGCGGAAAGAAGAAAAAATCTAAACGCCACAAAGCCAAAAAAAAAATCTCCAAATCTGTAGGAGGAGTTAATGATGGGGAGAGGAGAAGTGTTCCTGACACAACTCTGACAAAAAAGTTCAGATACAATAAAAGTGTAACATGACGGAAAGTGAAACGGAGAGAAAGAGAGAGAAAATAGATCTAACTGGAGGACGGGTTGGTGTGTGTTGGCTGAGGAGGCCTGGAGGCTTTTTTTTCCTGCATCACTGTGACCCACATATCACACCCAACACACAACACACACACGAGTACTTGTCACATGCTTCAAAAAATCATCAGTCACCCGCTGACTCAAACCCTGCAGAAATAAAAGACGCAGCGTCGTAACCTCGTTGCTTCCATTCGGAGCAGCAGCTTCAGTTTGTGACACCTGCAGTAAACAGCAACAACAACAACAAAACCACGGAGCAGAGAGAGAAGAGGACACGAGACGTGAAGACACTCGGAGAGATGGAGAGCAGGTGAAGTTATCTCTCCTCTCTCCACCTGTCTCAGCTGATCTCCTCTGTGTCGTTCAGTTAGTTCCAAATTCAGCTAAGGAAACAACAAAGGATTATGGGGGTTTTGGAGTCATATAAGACTTAGGTGGGAGTGCTGGATGGCCTTGTGGTAAGGTTCCCCATTTTCTGAAGCTGTTCCGCAAGCCGCTAGGGTTTCGATTACGGCATGTCATTCCCCTCTTTCTTCTCTGAGATGGCGCTCTAATCAGCCCAATAAGCCGAAGTGAAGTTTGACTGCTGCTGTAACACCCGGCAGGGGTCTGACTAAAGTCTGAAACAGACAAGAGACTGAAGAGTCGATGCAGTGATCTCACACAAACAGAACTTTGAAAACAGTCGGACTTCTCCAGCCGGACATGATCAGAGCTTTGTGTGGCTGCAATAACTGAAGTCAAGATTTTCTGATCTGGTCTTACTTTAATGAAGCCTCGCTACAGTCTAGTCAGTGATTGTAGTATTTGAAATGAATTGATGGACAACTCTTAAGAGTAAGAGTGACTTTAGAGAGGACAAAAACAAATCTGAGCCCCTTGCCGGAAATTTCAAATGTGTTTTTTTTTTTGGTTTATTTTGGGGGTTTTGATGCCTTTATTGGAGATACAGGACCGTGGATAGTTAGAAATCATGTAGAGAGAGAGAGAGTGGGGAATGATGAAGGAAAGAAGCCACAAGTCAGATTTGAACCCGGGCCGCCCGTTAAGAGGACTAAAGCCTCTATATATGGGGCGCACGTACTAACCACTAGGCTACTAGTGCCCCCAGATGTGTTTTAACTGACAAGAGATTCAATCCATCTACTGCAGAGTTCACAAAGTCTCTTCTTCTGACTGATTTCAAACCTCACATGTTACTTTACATCATCGGAGACACTGCGGGAGAACAGAAGCTTTAAATCTTCCTTCATGTGGACGGACTCACACACTATGGAGAGCCATATGAAGAGGAAATCGGATATCTTTGGGTTAAAAATTCTGACATTCTGGGTTCAGAGCATCTCCTCTCTTCTCTATGTCTTATATATTTGAACACTGTCTCTGTTTTTCCCCTGATGGTCCTCAGATCTCCTCCCGTCCCCCGCTGTCCTCAGACTCCATCTGACAGAACACACAGGCTAATTATCTGGTGGAGAAAGCCTATGTGTCCCTTCCCTCTTTCCTCAACTTCACTTCTGACTCTGCATAAAATACTTTTTTTTTTACATCTCAACAATTCAAAGAAAGGCTCAGAGGAAATATAGATGAACCATCTTCACCCGGAGGCACCCCGCTGCTGCAGACTTGTTACATGACACGCCATGCACCAAGAAGAAGAAGAAGAAGAAGAAGAAGAAGAAGAAGAAGAAGAAGAAGAAGGAGCACGGCCCATAATGTAAAACATTATGTAGAATATGTTCAGTTCATGTTGGGCCTGGTTCAGGACTAAAATATCTGCGTGTGGCCAGGATCCATGGATCTCTTCGGGGGACCCACAGGGATTAGGTAACATATTTTGAAGACAATGAAGACATGCTAAGTCATTGTTTCCTGCCCAACAACAACTCCAATCTATTAGAAATGCAACAATGGGTTATACGTCTTTGCCAAAAACCAACCACACACTATGAATCAACTAAATCTTTATACTGTAACTCAAAGTTTCTCAACGCAGAAGAAAGATAAACCATCAGCAACTTATAGAAATAAACCTTTTGAAATCAAATAAAAACAACCAAAGGCAAAAGCTCTGTTCAGCACTGCAGTTCAAAGCAATGCTATCAACGTGGCTCCAATAACCGAAATGGGCTGGTCCACCACTTTGGGCTCAAAGACTCAACAACCAATGGATGTATTGTTGTGAAATTTGGTGAATCCCAAGATGATGAATCCTACTGACTTTGGGGATTCCTGAATGTTTTACTTTAGTACCACAATGAGGTGAACATATGGGGTTTGAGTGCAAAGTTTAAACAGCTGTTTGGGCATACAAGGATTTCTCATCCAGCATCATCATCAGGTCAAGATTTCTATTTGTCTTAATCTCCATTTATGACCAAATACCCCCAAAAGCCGAAGACATTCCCATCGGCGCCACTGATACTTTGGTTCAGTGCTAATTATCAAATGTTAGCTTACCCTAACCTAACGTGGGTAAGCTACACTAACTTAACATTACGGTAAATGGTAAATGGACTTGAGCTTGTATAGCCCTTTTCTAGTCTTCTGACTACTCAAAGTGCTTTAACACCGCAGGTCACATCTACACATTCACACACTGATGGTAGAGGCAGCTGTGTAAAGTGACCATCAGAAGTAACTAATCCCATTCATACACATTTACACACCGCTGACGAAGCAGTGGGAACAACTTGAGTCTTGACCAAGGACACACATGGTACACCTGCAGGAGCTGGGGATCGAACCCACAACCTTCCAAAGACCGACACTACCAACTGAGCCACAGCTGCCACAACATTAGCATTACCACATTGTCATGTCACTATTCTCATCGTAGCCTTTAGCTCAAATCAGCGCTGTGCTTCTGTACAGCCAAACAGAGAAGCTGGCACAGCTGTGGACTTACAGTTCTGTTAGCGATTTGTAATTTACTGCACACTACGGGACTTTTTTGTAAGTATTGTTTCAAGTCTTGCACAAATGATTGGAAAGATTTGTTCAACACTGAACCCCCTATTTTTTTTAAATTCTTGCTCATTGCAAGCAGAGGGAGCGTTATAGTCAACGTTTGATTGCCGCTGCTGCCAAAAGAATGATTTGCCTTGTTACTTAGAGGCTTAGTTGAAATCAAGCAAGTTTCAGTTCCTGTGTTCCAGCAAACAAACACACAATGTTGTATTACTTACGTGTGTTGCTCGGCTGTGAGTCCATGGGAATCATCATTTTGCCTCGTGTGCCCCTCCTGGCACCCATGGAGCGATCCAGAGTGGAGATACCGCTGGACGCCTCGTCATTGTCGGCTCCTATAACGTCAAGCAGCCAGGCATAAAAACAAGAACTTGTTATTTCCTGTCATCAAGCAATCAGAAGAGAATCACTAAAATGGGAAGGCAACAGATTTGTTTTTTACTTCAAGAGGAATCAGGGGTCATTAGGCATATGTGACGTTCAGGAATAAAATCAAGTCTCTTGATGGAAACACTCAGTTAGCACCACAGATGTAAAGGAAATAAGTCACTTTTGGCATGCAGGTGATAAACACCCTGATTCGAAAATGGGAAAAAGGCATCTGGTATTTTGGTGTTGCCAGGCAACAAAGAGTTGAACTCTTAGATGAGGCTTGGGTACAAAAAAAAAGACTCCAAGAAACAAAGTTAATGAAAAAAAGGAATAGAAACTTCTTAGGCATGAGACTAGGAAGAGTATCAAAAGTTAATATAAACTAAAAAGAACACCATTTTATTCTAGAACCATTATGTGGAAAAATAAATGCATGAATCAGCATTCGGCGCTGTACCTGAGTGGCTGCTCTTGCTGCCCATCTGGCTCTCTGATTGGCTGTGTGCGACCTGGGGGAGGTCTTGGCAGGACTGGAGGGGCGAGTCGTGTCCTGACGGGGCGACACTCGGAGCTTTCTCCATGTTCTTCATCTCCATCTCCTCATGGTGGATCCAGAGGTCCGGAGGCCGCAGGTCCTTCTGGCTGCCTTTCCGCTTACCAGCGCTGTGGCTCGCTCTCTTCCTGCAAGACGGAAGAGAAAGCACAGGTCAGGGAGAGCACAGGTGAGGGAGAGCACGGGCGAGGGAGCCTGTCACTACAGATGATCAGACGTGTGTCTACAGAAACATATTTAAGGCGCAGAGTCGATCTAAAATCTAAACGACCAGGAGAGACTGTTAGACATCTGCCTTGTTACTCTGATCTGCTCACCGCCATCATCACACACATAAAAAAACACGTCTTACTTCCTCTGCTGGGCGGAGGAGCGCCGGGTGCAGATGAGCGCCACGATGACGACCACGACCACGGTGACAGCTCCCACAGAAACCACGATGATGACCAGCAGGTTACTGTTCTTCTGAGGCGTGGCGCTGCCATGAGGAGGACGCATCTGACCAATAGGAGACTCTGAAACACACGAACACAGAAGAGAAATATTAAACAGGTTTCAAACATACAAACGAGATGATCTGTTAGCTTAAGGGTTACTTAAAGGAGCAGTATGTAACTCTGACACCTAGTGTTTAAAATGAGTACTGCAGTCTGAATTCAAAACAGAAGACAGAGCTGTCTCCCCCCGCCCCCTCCTCCATAGAGTCGATGCTCACACAGGCTGCCGTGTGGTCGACGCTGAAGCTCATTGGGAAGGGTTGGGCTTAAGGTGTTTGAATCAGTTTAAATTTTTCTTTCAATTTCATTTTTTCCAATCTTATTCTGACAATAACTTTTAATTGAAAGGTATATGTAGATTTTTTTAACACTAAGATATCTAAATTAATTCAAAATGAACTAAACCTATTTTCTATATTTTTGTTTTGTTTAGTACTAAAATTACTTCAAATATTTCCAACAGTGATCAAAAGCCAGATAAATATTTAATTTTATAGTTTTCACAGGGTTGCACTCCCATTTCCCCGCCCACCTCAAAGGTCATCTTTTGTTATTGTTTTGATTGAGAGCCCCCTGGTGGCAGAGCTTACAGACTTTGCTTTCAACCTTGAAAATATTTCTTTTTTTTTTAACATTTTACATCAGAAATCAGAAGAAAAAATATTCAGCCACTGACCTAGAAGCGGGGAAGGCACATTAAAAAGTAAATGTGTTCCTTTACTTCATGTGAATTCATTTTGAATTTAATAGTTGAGAGTTAAGAAGCATCCACAAAATGCACCAGATCTAAAAATATGACCTAATCATTAAATGTTTGCACTACTTCCTTAAATATGTTTATTGTTATAAATAAACCATAATCAACGTGTTGAACACTTATTCAGTCTGTTGTGATATACAAACACACAGACACAAAATAAACGACTGTAGAATGAAATCCACAGCAGTTTCACTGGACTGACAACACAGAGCTGCTGCTGTACAAATCAATACACAGTGTGTGTTTGTGTTTGTGTGTGTGTGTGTGTGTGTGTGTGTGTGTGTGTGTGAGACACTATGACAGGTGTAAAGGGAAAAAGGGAATTGATGACACGCTCTGTCATTCATTAACTCGACCTTGAAGCAAAGAGAGAGAAAATAGGAAACACAGGAGGAGCAGAAGTCTGGACGGAGAGGAGGGGGAAGTGTGTAAAAAAAAGAGAGCGAGAGAGAGAGGAGGAGGATAAATAAAATACAGGGAGTAAAGGACAGGGGGAAAGATAAAAGGGAGGGAAAAAGGAAGTAGGAAGGGAAGAATTGTCGGTGCGGGAGAGGGGAGGTGGAGGAGATGGAAGAAGGAAAGAAAAGGCCTAAGAAAGAGAATCACTTTACCTCTTTCTCTCTCTCTCCCTCTCTCTCCATTCAGCAGTCTCTCTCAATGAAAACCACAATCCATCACAGCTTACAGCTGCAGCACAGCAGCCACAATACGACCCTCTTTTCTGTTCTCTTTGGATTTCATCATCTCCCTCTCCTTCTTTCCTTTTCTTTTGCAGCATTTTTGTCATTCTCTCTCAAGCAGAAAGCCGACCCTTTATAGATGTTCGTCTCAGGTTTTTAGTTTGTGTGAGAGTAAAAGTCATGGTGCTTTTGAAAATCAGAAGGGTGCTTCTGTTGCAGCAGGTGGAGTGTGATCAAGTAATCTGAAACGGTTCAGATACCAGAGGAGTTTGTTGGACTGACCGATGTTTGGATCACTCTTTCAGCACCAGGGTAAAGGACGACTGGAGCACAAATAAGACTCCAGTTGAAGATATTACTTCTTGACTAGAACTCTACTTTTGTGTCCTCAGTTTCAAGTCCAGCTGTGAAATAAAAGTGAAAAGATTTTCCAGGCCTCATACAGAATGGGAATTGTCTAAGGCCCTGTATCCACCTGGCTGTTCGCTCGGCAGCAGTTGTGCGCTGAGAATAAAAGCTCTGCAGGTGCATCTTGTCGCTATGACAACATCTCTTGACAACAGCTGCTGGATGACCAAAACTACTCCACTGCTTTTTAATGTATGTTTTATATTTGAGATTGTTTTTTTCCCCTTCACTCTGAGCATTAAACGGAGGATGCTTGGCCTTCCTACATGATCAGCTTAATAATAATGATGGCCCCGATATCACGGCTCAGATCAGACACAGAGAGACAAGGAGGATGTGAGGACTTGACATGGGGAGTCCCGACCAACCTACTATACATTGCACAGTGTATGAGTGGCTGGTTGAAAAGAGCGCTGGTGATGTCTACAGCAACTTTCTGAAAAGTGGAAAGATTTTCAACTACAGAAGTTCTCAGAGCGGCAGCACACAAAAAGGCAGTGCAGTCGGTAAAAGAACGCTGTGTCCTTTCAAGGTGGCCTTCTGCTGCTGCAAATGCTCTCTCCTCATCGGGAACAAATGAAAATGGATGCTGGCACTCAGCAGGTGGACAAAGGCTCTAATGTAATTTTACAATAAGTGAAATATTTGCAGAATATGGGAGTTTAAGATGTTAATGTTTTCCATTAAAACTCCTCTGAAGACCTGGCTTCCTTCTCTTAAACAGGAGATATTTATGACGTGCATTGCTTGAGTGATGTCGAGCTCTTAGCACGGAACAACAGCCAACAGCATCCTCCTCTGGAGAACATGAATAAGAGCTCGTTCTGCAGTACACAATGAGATCTTTAGAGCTCGTTCTGCAGAACACAATGAGATCTTTAGAGCTCGTTCTGCAGTACACAATGAGATCTTTAGAGCTCGTTCTGCAGAACACAATGAGCTCTTTAGAGCTCGTTCTGCAGAACACAATGAGCTCTTTAGAGCTCGTTCTGCAGTACACAATGAGATCTTTAGAGCTCGTTCTGCAGTACACAATGAGATCTTTAGAGCTCGTTCTGCAGTACACAATGAGATCTTTAGAGCTCGTTCTGCAGAACACAATGAGATCTTTAGAGCTCGTTCTGCAGTACACAATGAGATCTTTAGAGCTCGTTCTGCAGAACACAATGAGATCTTTAGAGCTCGTTCTGCAGAACACAATGAGATCTTTAGAGCTCGTTCTGCAGTACACAATGAGATCTTCGGAGCTGGTTTCTGCTGGAAAGAGTGATTCTTTTCTGTTGGTGATTTTTTTCTCGTGAGAAGAAACGCTGCGACATAAAGGACGACAGCGTGTTAAAGATGATATACGGCGCGGCTGATGAACGAGGCTTCGCCCTCGCCGACCCGCCATAAAGCCGGAGGGGGGCGGAGGTCAGAGCGGACGGATTTATGTTTGCCTGAGGCAGCAGTAACACTGCACACGCTGCTCAGCTTGTCCTCCACAGAGACACTGAATCACCAGCAGCTACAAGCCCTGACCTCTGACCTCTGTGCAGAGCAGAGGTAACTGACCAGTTTGTCTTTAAGCAGAAATGAGACACGACAGTTATGGTTTCCAGCATGATTTGTACTTGAGTAAGAGAGAGAAGGGCAGAGTCACCTTTACTGTAAAGTTGGTCGCACATGTTTTTTCTTGCTATGTAAATGTTTCTGACATTAAAACATCAACATGAAGCCGGAGTAGAGCATCCCTGAGAAATATGAAGAGGATTCATCCACTCCACTGAGGACTGAGGGCGCTCTCTCACCTCACCTGTTTGCTGTGTAGTCTATCTTTGTTGTGTTAGGTTATATGTTTACCGTAAATCTTCTTTTAATAGCCCAGGCTTTTATTTACCTCAGTCAGTAAAATCACCATGCCTTTATTTGGGACAGGGGTCAATACGAGTTGTTATTTAATGCCTAATAAATGGGAGCAATATTTTTTTTACCCTGAGTAACATGAGTCTGAATCTAGTTTAGTCCCTCTCTATTCAGATAAAAAAGAAATAGCCCGGCTGCAACCTTAACTTTGATCCAGTTAACCCTGCGTTTCCACATAAAGAAGTCAGCTCTATCATCCTAATTCATTCCCCATCTTCTTCAACTACAGGTTCATTGAATTCAACAAATACTGAAGTGGCCGGTGTAGCAGAGGGACAGCAGCAATGATTCAGTCTGAACTAAGAAAAGAGACGTGCAATCATGTTTTATGACATTTATTTAAACTAGAAGATGGACTTGACTTAGACCTGGTGCCAAAAGACTTGGGCTTGCATCAAGTGATTTGTGCACATCACTCTGCAGGAACCAGTGGCTGGAAAACCAGTTCAGCAGAAATCTAGTCTACTTCTACTAGAAATCTGCTTTAAGAGGTCGTTCTGATATGAAGATGTGTTTCTGCATCTTTTGGAGCTGAAATGAAACAAAGTTTTCTGCACATATCTCTTCTTCATTGGTTAATTTCTTTTTCATGCATGCTAGCTTTTGTATAATGAAAAGCCAAAAGAAGAACATGACCAGCGGCTATTGCGCACCTTAAATTGTGAGAAGAGATTTAAGTTCTGGTCTTTCTTTTGGTGCAGCCTTTAATGCAGCAAACAGCTTCAAGTGTAAGCATTCATCTGAAGAAAAAACTGTTCTGGTATATGAAAAGTCTAATGTTGAGATAATGTAATAATACAATCCTAAGAAGAACCTTCATTTTCTTCTTTTCTTAGTGTCTTTTGATTAAAACCTAGAGGCTCGTGTTCCTCTCTGTCAGTGTCCGACTTGAAATAATTATCCATGATGTTGTCGTTAAATTAAAAACAACAAGCAGAAGATTTATGTGGCCACTCTCCTCATCCTGCTCCTCAATAAAGAAGATTACTTTCTACAGTCTTCTTTTTTTTAAAACACTGATTGATGGAGAGATAGTGAATCTAATTAATTTTTCATGCCGGCAGCAAAACAAAACAAGGAGCGACGTTAACGGAGTGTAAATCAGCGAGCCGCAGCTCCTCCTCGTCGGGACGCAGCGGGTCATTAAAATAAGTTTAGACATGACTGAGCTGAGCGATCAAAGACAACCACCGAGTCTCTGTGATAATGTGATGATGCTGCAGAATATGACACACACACACACACACACACACACACACACACACACACACATGCACACACACATGCACACACTCAAACATGCAATCAGCTCTCTGGAGAACCGGTCTCATTACAATCTCAAGTCCAATAATGACCCCAAAAGTAATTGTACTTTCTGACAGATTCAGTCATGCAGAATAATAGTGTATGAGTGTGTGTGAATGTGTGAGTCTGTGTTACCATTGATGCTCCTGTCAATCAGGTTGGTGTCAGACGGCCAGTAGGCGTGGTCTCCTCCACGACCTGGAGGATGAAGAAAAAAAAACAAGCAGGTCAGAAAAAACAGACAGAAAACAGCAGCGAAGAAGGACGGAGAGGCTGGGAGTCATTTTGTAGGTGGAATAGAGGGGTCGGACAGAGAGATTGCTTCCTTGTTAGAAAATAAATGACTTTGTTAAGCCAGTGCGCACACACACACACACACACACACACGCATGCCCTACACATGTTGTGTGTGTGTAGTTCTCTCCTGAGAGTCCATTTAGTGTAAATCCTCACGTCTGATCCACCTGTCAGGACACTAACACGCCTGTGATGCATGGATTGGTGCCCACAGTACGGACTTGCAGGCTTCTGCAGTATCACACAACTATAGCTGTTGTGGACAAGACTATTCAAACATGGCATCATTTTTATTCATCCATGGAAATACATGGTAAAGGAAAAGCTGCCAAAAATTCACAATGACAAGAGTGTCATTTTAGCACCTTGAGTTTGATTGATTGACAATAATTGAATTAAAAAAACATATTTGTTACAAGATGTTTCATGTCTAATTGTACATTATAATGTTGGAGTCAAGACCACACTAACCGCACTTCTCTTACTGGATTCAAATTGTGGGGACTGAGTTTGGTGGATTATTCTGATCAGGAGAATTCAGTTCATCTTCAAATGGTGAGTTAGGACGCAGTTTGTTTGTCACAGGTCAGACCCGCACACACACACACAGTGTGTTAGTGTGTGAGTTGGACTATGTAACTCCTTAGTCGGGGACACGCCTACATAACTTAACTTAACTAATTAAATGTTTTTTTGCAGGTATATGTCATTTATTCCTCAGCTTTTTACCATGTGGGGTGAATCGTAAGAGAGAGTTTAAGAGGAATGTAGAAGTAGCTCATCACAGAGAAACAAGAACAGAGACTGGAGACTGATGAGAAGGATTTTTTAAAAAACCTCAACCCTGTCACTCCCATTAAGAAACATCCCCACATCTCAAATTCATTTAAATCCAGACACGATACATAATTCTGCTTCATTTATAGACTGAGAGCTGGATTCTTCATCACACACCATGTGCCAGAAACGGGGTTTGATTAAAGCTGCATTTTAAAATCTGAACACACACACGCATAAATCAGTCATCTCTTTGTCAGTCTATCTTTGTGTATGCATTAAACAGTGTGTCTGCATGTGTGTGTGTGTGTATTTACAGTGTAGGGTCCACAGCAAGAGGGCTGAACATCAATCTTCCCTCCTCCCCTGACAACACCTCTGATTTATATGGAGAGCGAGAGCACACACACACGTACACACACACGTACACACATGTCTGTCAGTGACAAACAACACCATTTAACACCCTGACACCAGCGCCGAGTCTCTCTGCTTCAGTGTCCAAACGCCTGAAACGCCTCGCTGCACTTCTGTTCAGCCGCTGTGAAAATTCCCAGAATGCATTTGTTGAAAGAGGTGGACAAATAGGCTTTGAATGCCATACACACCTTGTATATTACCCGACAATACTCGAGGCACTCTGTCTAACCTCACTTTCAGCAGTGTGCATGCCTGATCGTAGAACAGGGACGCTGGCTCGGCTCTGTAGACCTGACACAGATTCTGGACGGCTAGTGGTTGTGCGCTCAGTCGTTTTGTCATTATTTCTGCGCGGATTAAAATGTCTGGGCAGTTGTTGTAAACGGTGTATGGACTTGAGATTGTATAACGCTTTTCTAGTTTTCTGACTACTCAGACGCTTCTACCATGCAGGTCACACCTACACATTCACACACTGATGGCAGAGGTTGCTATGTGTGTCCATCAGTATTAACTGATTCCATTCATACAGCGCCCACAAAGCCCAGGGAGTGTCTTGCCCAAGGACACTTTGGACATGTGGCTGCAGGAGCTCGGGATCAAACCCCCGACCTTCCTGTTGAGAGATGACCGACTCTTTTGCAGCTGACTGTCTAGGCCAGGTCTCCCTTGGAAACGAGGTTCTTAATCCCTTTCAATAAAGGTTAAATAAAAAATATCTAATAACATCTGACATGAAATAAGAAGATGATAAATCCTACCTTGATCATTGGCCATCTTGTCTGGATGTTCAACTGAAAGAGAGAACAACAAAGAGTCAGCACACGAGTAAAATACAAACCAAAGGAAAACATAGACAGGGGGCTCTCACACACACAAACACACACAAACACAAACCCAAACACACACAGTTACACACGCACAGACCTTTGGCAGTCTTGAAGTGGATGGGCTCAGACAGCGGGCCAACCCCTTTGGCGTTCTTGGCCTGAATCCTGAAGTAATAAACGGTGTCCAGGTTCAAATCCACGACCTGATGGGTCAGCCGGTCGCCGCTGATCGCCTCCATCACCCAATCATCGATCGGCATGTTCTTATCCAGTGTGTAGTACAGGATGTAACCTGTCACACAAGAAGTTAGTGTGTTAATATTTCACCAAATGTGATCCCAACATCCAGACTGCAGTAGAGATCCTGAAGCGATCTTTGTATATTAACATTCACTTTCCTATTGAGGAAAAAATGGAAAACAAGTAGACCAAATATTTAACTTATTGTTGAGAGGGGACCAACCTCATGCTTCCATCATCAAATAAAGTCAGAAATATTGTAGTACAAGACTGCAAGGATCTAAAAATACTCTCTGTATATGTGTGTGTGTGTGTGTGTGTGTGTGTGTGTGTGTGTGTTTGTGTGTGTTTGTGTGTGTTGTGTGTTGTGTGTGTGTGTGTGTGTGTGTGTGTGTGTGTGTGTGTGTGTGTGTGTGTTGGGTGTTGTGTGTTGTGTGTTGTGTGTTGTGTGTGTGTATGTTTGTAAGTGTGTTATGCTGTTATCCCTGCAGGGAGCATTTGATTCGTCCTCGAGGACGCTGAAGGAACAGCAGAGCTCGTTAAAGCAGACGGGTTTACAGCCAGGTCGATCGCCCAGAGGAAGAGAGGGAGAACAATGGAATAAAGTGTGTGTGTGTGTTAGCTTGGATACACTGAGCAACAACAGAATTCTTTTACTGTAAGTGTGTGTGTGTGTGTGTGTGTGTGTGTGTGTGTGTGTGTGTGTGTGTGTGTGTGTGTGTATGTGTGTATGTGTTTGTGTGTCGATATCTTAAGAAATGGCTTTTGCCTCATTTAAGGAATTTTGCAGACTAAAGGATTCATTCATTATTTTAAATGATTAATTAAATATCAAATTAAGTAAAAGCTCAAAGAAATAATTTGTGTGAATGTTAATTCAGCACTGAGTTGGAGAGCAGAGTGGTTTATTTGTGGGGTCGAGTGGTGTGTTTGTGCGATGGCTCACCTGTTATCCGTCCGTTAGCTTCCATCGGAGGCTGCCAGCTGATTAAAATGGCGCGGGGTCGTCCCTCGCGACTGATCACTGTCAAATCTTTGGGAGCCGAACTGGGAGCTGTTAATTATGGATGGACAGGAGGAAGAGAATAAATAAAGATCAGTGTCAGGGACAGTTTGATGAGATAAAGGAGCAATTAGCTTCAGAGAGCTATCAGAGGATGAAAAGTGACAGAGTTTAGAAGTTCATTCAGGGACTCCGATATATTTATGTAGTTATGAGGATAACCTGCAATTTGAACTGTTTGTTCATATCCAAATAATGTAGTTAAAGGAAAAGTTAAACACATTCTCCCTCTCAACTCATTAAAAACAGCAGCTTGACCTGTGCACTAACGCCCTAAATATATAGAAAGTACCCCTATGATGAACATTCAGGTGAATATAAAACATCTGACTTTGGAAATAAAGCTTGCTAAAAAATCCCATTTTGTGGTTTTAAGATGTGCGAAATTCATAAACATTTGGTTAATGTGAAACATTAGTGTGGGTGGTACAGGAAATTAAACAACTTTGGATGCATTTACAAAAGGTTTGGGTTCAGATAAGTGTCTGCATACATTATCTAATCAGCATGTGATATTTAACTGCAGAAGAAGGCAACTCGCTTGAAGCCAACAATGCTATTGATTTGACACAGGAGTCAAACCTCAGGGCGCTCAGTGAAATCCCATAAATCTTTGACAAATCCATCCCCCTTGACTATTGACTTTTGTCTAGTAGAGTTTTGTCTCTCTATACCACATCAGCGTTGCACATAAAAATAAAGCTTGCATTTGATAGATTACAGATTACTGAGATGGTCCAGAATTTGGTTTCTTGCAGATAAATATATATATATAGAGAGAGAGAGAGAGAGAGAGAGAGAGAGAGAGAGAGAGAGAGAGAGAGATATATATATATATATATATATATATATATATACATTTTTTTTTTTTATGTTGATGTCTATGTTCAAATTAAAAGCTATGGTCGAGACCTTTTGTTTAACTTAGAATCATGGGTAAAAGGCTAATATCAAAAGTTTCAAAATCCATTCAGCAGAGGTGGAGATAATCAACATCCCCAGACTCAAACTGTTTGATTATAAGTGCCCAGAAAGAAAGAACGAATGAAAGACAAGACTCTCACAATAATACTACAGGCATATTTAAAGGTCAATGTTAATGGGTACTTTTGGTGCTAAGCCCATTGCATTTGGGATCCCCCAGGGAAGCTTTCTGGCGCTATTACCTTTTAAACTACAAATTCATTATTTAAAATCTGAACTCTAGACTAGAACTAACCGAGCTGATGCATTTAATAGTTACCAGATTGCTGAGAGGTACCAGATTTGGTTTCTTGCAGATATATATAGAGATTAAAAAAAAGTCTGTGTGAATAAGAAGCTATGGTTGAGAGACTATTTTCTTCACTTGTCGTAAAGATTGGAATCATGGGTATGAGGCTAACCTCCAAAGTTTAACCAAATCCATCCAATAGTGGTTGAGTTAATCAACAACCCTACCTCCCCTTCACATGCTGCTTGTATATACATCATCATACAAAGGTTATGTGATATATTTAAAAAGTCATTTCATTCAAATTCAAAGTCCTACACATGTCCATCACATTCAAGACCAAATGTTGTCAAAAGCTGATTCTGTCCGAGTCAGCTTAGCGTCCTTTGGTAAGAAAACAAAATTACATTTTGTTCAGTTTAGGGGGAAATCAATTACAGGTACGAAACATTGGCATTTTTGAGTCAGAGGAATTTGAAACCGATTTCAAAGATAACAGTCTTTTATTGTCTGACCCATCCATCATCCCTGGCCGCTAGCCCAAGTGGACCATACTGATCTTTCTACTAGGTCACATTAATCTCCACATGACAAGAATTGGTTGAAATTGGCTCACAATTCAGTGGACTTCTGAAGATTTATCGTGCATTAGCGTACGTAAGTAGGTACTAACATAATCGGTGATTGAGAACAGTCTGCTGTTTGTCACAATAATAAAGAGTACCTACTGCTGTATAATGTTTTATTTTAAGGTATATAAATTATCTCTAGGTGATATACTCTTGGGCTGTGAATAGCATGAATTGGTTTTTATGTAGTTATCTCCCCAGGTGTTATAGAGTGCATGGTGTTCTTTCTCAGTCAATCTCAAGTGTCTCTCTCCTTCCAGAGTCTGGATTCTTTTGGCAGAGTTTTCTTCTTGGGCACTAAAGCCCTCATGCCTTTGCTGGTGCTAAAAATAGAGCTGCACTTGTGTGGTAGTTCTCCACCTGAAATTCCTGAACTGACAATAATCTAAATACACTCCAGTTTTAGTGCATTTCAGCAGTCTGCTCTGTTTGGACTTTGCAAAATTGTGCAGAATGTAATTACAACCATTTTCCTAAATTGCCCTGTTGTATCGCTCCTGTTGTGAAAATGTCAAGCACCCGGCCTCACAACCAGCACTCAGGCTTTTCTCTCTTCAGATGTCACCATGGAAACTAAGTGGCTGGCTAGTGGAGCTTTAGTGTGTGATATCTGCATGCTTCCTGAGTTACAAATGTGATTAAATACATGATTTCTAAGCTTCACACCAGTACAGGCCTTGAAGCTTGCACACCAGCAACGACTAATGAAACTACTTGTTAAACCTGACGTTATGCCCTGGAGGAAATTACAAGTTCCAGCTGAGGCTGTAAGTGACAGTAACAACCTGCATTCATCATTAACACAGAGAGAGACATAAGGAAAGATACACTGCACACATATATGTTGGAGAAAGTTGCGGTTCCAGCTTGTGAAGCGACTGTAATTACAATATAATTTTCAGTCTATAATTAATGCCACTTAGGGGTCATCTACTCAGGATGATCTGCATCTTAAATAAGGTGTCAACCTTTTCTAAATCGGTGAAAAAATGAACACTCAAGAATTATTCTTAGCTCTGATTAAAAGCCTGTAACACAAGTTCAGGGCTGTTCAAGTATTCTGACTGATTTGAGGAGGACACCTGGGTTCAGCGTTGACAGGCATTACATGATATCCCTAATTTAACGTTTTAAATTAAGAGTCATAGGTTACAGAGAAGCAGCCTCCGGTAGGATTAGCCAAGAAAATCTCGTACCATTCAAAATTGAATACATATATTTCACATGACTATACATTCTTTGGATTCTCCCTTATGTTTGGCTTCATTATCGTATTTTCCGCACTATAAGGCGCACTTAAAAGCCTTTAATTTTCTCAAAAAACAACAGTGCGCCTTATAATCCGGAGCGCCTTATATATGGATCAATTGGTTAATTGGTTGATCCATACTGGTTGTACACGGCGCTCAGTGACACTGACTCGGATAATGACGAGAGGGAGCCGGGCATGTTGGATGCCGTACTCGCCCAACTGTTCAATTCGGACACTGAAGAAGAAGAATTCGAGGGATTCGTGGACGGGGAATGAACTGAAAAAGTGAGCTTTACGTGTTATACGTAACTGAACAATGTTGAGTTATGCACTAACGTTTGAATTAGCGGTATCAGACTGTGTTTCTTTTATGTGTTTACAACTGAACAAGGCTGGGAGATATTGTGAATATGCACATTAACGTTTGAACAACGTTGAGTTATTGTGAATGCACTACGTTTTATACGTAAGTTGAACAATTTCGAGAGTTACTATATTGTGAATGCACTAACGTTTGATTTAGTGGTATCAGACTGTTTCTTTTACTACGTGTTTACTGAATCAGGGAAAAGTTCCCCTCCACATTTGGGAGAAGAGTGAACAAGGCTGGGAGATATTGTTAATATGCACATTAACGTTTGAACATCGTTACCATGGGAGTGAACGGAGTTGTCAGAACGCTTAATAAAGTTTGACTTTATCTGACTGTTTTGTTGACATTCCCTTTAGCACAGCTCCATCTAGTGGATGCATAACGCAACCCCAGTCAAACGTTTGACTGCAGTATCTTCTATTCTATGCGCCTTATAATCCGGTGCGCCCTATATATGAAAACAGTTCTAAAATAGGCCATTCATTGAAGGTGCGCCTTATAATCCGGTGCGCCTTATAGTGTGGAAAATACGGTAAATTCAAATTCACCGCAACAGATCTGAAAGCGGTGCACAATCCTTTTCATAGAACAGCATTCATCCCAATCCCAAGAAAGAAAGAAAGAAAGAAAGAAAGAAAGAAAGAAAGAAAGAAATTAAGAAAAACACGCTCATCTCACAGGCATATTTAAAGGTCAATGTTAATGGGTACATTTGGTGGTAAGCCCATTGTGTGTGGGGTCCCCCAGGGAAGCGTTCTGGTGCCATTATCCTTTTAACTAGAATGAATTATTTAATATCTGCACTTTTATGACTAGTGCTGCTCTGAATATGTCACACATTGAAAATGAAATATACTGTGTGTTACTTCTAACCTACACCATGACCCTTTTCTTTTGTTTTTGACCTACTATTATCAGATTTACTTTTTGCATCATTGAAAAGTATTAACTTGGGAAGGCACCTTCTCTGGTGAGTGCACAGTAGTACAAAACACAAAGGGTTTCTGTCTCAAAGAAATCAATTGAGCAGTTTGGCCTTTAATAATGAAGACTTTATTGCAGTCTAGTTTCAGAAGAAACCATAGCACTACAAGATCAATTTTAAAGAAGACTTCATTATATTCGTACTACATATACAAAGTTATAGGTTCTTTCTTCAAAGACTATGTGGTCACCAGATTCAAAAGTGTTCATTCCCTGACGAGTCCAAAAATACACAGAAAAGACGATCAATCTGTTCAGAAGATGTTGAAAGATTTTGTAAGTGTTTAATAGACCCAGAATATATGAGACTCTGCCTCTGTTTAGGATGTACTACAAACAAACATGAAATAATGCTGGGGTCTTTTAGACTCCCTGGGTTATTATTTCGAGCAGTAAGGCAGAGTTATTATGAGCTCCAGTAAAAGCTTATTTTTGTGCTTTGTTCTGAAACTGTGGTCAGTGTTTGTGTGTCCAGAGCTTGTTGATCACTGCGGGGACTGAGTGGGCTCAGTCCGTCTGCTCTCTCTGAATGTCAATGTATTCCAGTGGGCCTCGGGGAGTTGGCGGGGGTAATGCCGTTCACGCTTAATTGGTTGACAAATCCGACAAACATGATTGTAAACATCCTGAAAGGGATACCTTGACATTTTGATTTGAGTGTGTGGTTGGGTTTCATTGTGGCAGACGGTTGTTGTGTTGTAGCAGGGGAGAGTTTAGTTTCTCCATTAAACCTCGCTGAACCAAATCACGACTTCGGTGCATTGTAACAGCCCTTATTAAAAGTAATCGCTGTTCAGGGAGCATAAAGAAAATGAAAATATTTGGAGTCTGCTTTGCCTCGGTGAACAAAGGTTTCCCAAACAACCCCATTACTTTTAGTTTGTCAAAATCACTTTCAAGAAAGCCTCCAGAGAATAACTGTCAATTCTCCCCATATCAGTGGTAAAAGAAGTTGAATAAAAAAAAGAATTATAGATTTACCAGAACTCATTATAAGTCAGTGTTAATGGAGAGAAGCTAACTGACATCAGCCGTTTTATTCATGCATTCCCATCAGGGTCTCAGCATGGTATCAGCCTGTGTCAAACTGAATTCATGCAGAGTTTAAGCGGCCATTATACGTAAAAATCTATTGTTTGATGCTGCAGCTTTCTTTGCCGATATAACGTTTTGTTTTTTGTGCTAAACTGTGGTTAATCATTAATTCACCAAGATGGGCATGTTTGTGTCTGCCTGCATATAAATATATACACTGTATATGGAATGCACACTTTTTAGAGCCAGTGAGCACAGTAGAAAGAGCAGAATTTTTCAAAGGTTGGAGTGCTGCCTACGCTCTGGCTGCTGTTTCACTTGGGTACTGCTGAAGTCATGGCTTCAAAGCATTTCCAATCCAAAAAGAAAATATCTGGGAAGGAACCAGATGACTCTCCAGTGCTCTTGCTTTTTTGTGAATACAGTAAGATTGCTTTGTGACAAAAAATGTGTTTGAATGGGGTGGGATGAAATCTGAGTTAAGGGAGGGACATCAAGCAAAGCAACCTTGAGCAGATTTGGACTTGGGAGTGGTATGAACCCTGTTAGTGGAGATTGGTTTTGTAGATGAACCCTCATTGCAGCCCAGATACTTAAGAACTTTACAAAATGGTACCTCATATTGTATCACATACCTCGTATCGTAAATCAATGGAAGAATCCTCTGAGTATTCAGAACATGCCACAAACCATCAACAACTTAAGATCTGCTTCTTTCAAGACTTTGCTTTTAGGTTTAAGTTAGCATAACGTTTAGGTTAGGATTCCATGAGAGGGGATGTGTTGTGCAAAACATTACAAGGACTGAATTAGACCTATGAGTTTATGAGGGACTTACCTGCTTCATACGTTGTGGCATGTGCCGTCATACTCCAGGTGCTGGACTTGCGGCCTTTGGTTACCATGACAGCAAACTCGTACATGGTGTTTGGCTTGAGGCCGGTGACTGTGTGACTCAGCGCTGTGGTGTCTGCAGACTGAAAACAAAGTAAAGATTTACAAAAAAGAAAACTTTATCATGAAATTAAAAGTATCTCAGAATTAACAACTATGCCTTTCAATATTGTGTCTGTCAAGAAATCTTTCTGCCCTTGTTATTGTACTTGAAGATTACATCTGTCAAACAATTAAAACCATCACTAATAATTAGCAAACCCCAGTAGCTCCAAAAACTTTTGTTTTCTCTTTTCACTTGAAGACCAGGCCTCCTTTTGTCCTTGTAGCACTAAAAAATTCCTTTTACTGAATCTGACAGGGAGAAAAAAGAAAGAAAAGACTCTCCCAGCTGAGCTGTATCAAGGTGAGCAGACGGTCTGCCCTTGTATAGATTTACTATTTCCAGTGTTTTTGAAGCTGAGTTCACATTATTGTCAAAGTTTCTTTGCAGTTCAGAGTTTGAGTGGAAAAATTACATCTCAGGGAGTGAACGGTAGAAGATCACAAGATCGGTGAAGGGTGTTATTTTGTTTTCAGACAATAAAAAGGATTCCAGGTTATGTCGGACTTCAGAAATGCTCTTTTTGGACTGTCAAACAATTGACAACTTTCTGTCAGCTGATAATTTTCTTGCCATATCTATTCATCAGTTTAAGATTTAAAAAAAAGGGGGGGGATTAATTAGGACGTGTAGTTTTCCCCTAATCTGGTCTTTTTGCTGAGCTGTCTGTAACCGAGGTGCAGGGAGAGGGCCCTAACTTTAATTTATTTCAGGAAGCTACAGTGTCGACAAGTCTAACTTTTAATTCCTTCTCAACTGCTAATCATACAGCAAGTCGTGCGGTTGCTGTGGTAACTATGGAGTATTAATAAAGTGAACTTTAAATATAAGGAAGGGGGAAATATGAGACATGTAAGCTTAAAGTTATGTATTAAATATTGGACACATTATTATTCACGTCTGTCTGCTTCTAAATATTGAGCTTGTCAAAGAGCAGAGGTGGAACAAGTGAAGTCCCAAGTCATGTCCAATAAGTCTCAAGTGAAGTCCAAAGTAAATATGGAAAGTCCCAGTTAAAGCCCAAGGCCGAGGCCAACATCTACCAAGTCGACTCCAAAGTTTAATGTGTAATAAATGAACGGCAATTAATGAATGACTAATTTATGATTGGTTAGTCATCATTATCCAAGTCAGGACAGGTAAGTTCCAAGTCAGGTACCAAGTCAAGGAAGGTAATTCATTAGTCAAAAAATCAAGTCAAGGTAGTCCCAATGAATTTGTAAGAGCCAGGAAAGTTTCAAGGCAGGCAGGTAAGTTGTAAGTACGTTACCAAGTCAAAACACGTTGTTTCATCAAGTTGAACCAGGTAAAGTTAATAACCAAGTTAGGCAGCATTTACCAAGTCAGGGTAGTATATACCCATCAGTAAAGTATCAAATCAAAGCAGGTGAGTCAAAGTCATGGCAAATTAGTTTGTAGTCATAGACCAAGTCATGTAACATCCGTTCCAAGTGCAGTACCAAGTCAATGCAGGTCTCAACTAAGGCAGGAAGTGCTTTTGAAGACTTCTAAATCATGGTAGGTAAGACACAAGACAAGTACCAGGACAGTGTCAGAGAAGGAAAGTTCCTCAGTCAATCATCAAGTCAAGGCAGGCAATCCCTATATCAACTACCAGGTCAAGGCAGGTGGGTCATTAACGAGGTAGCAAACAGGTAAATCCAAATTCAGGCAAGAAGTCAACAGAAGTAAGTTTCAAGTTAGTACATGTACCCTGTCAAGACCAGTATGTCCAAGTTAGGACAGGTTATTCCAAAATTAAGCCTTAAATACAAGTCTGATAAAAATTTAATTTTAATCTGAAGGAAGCAGAACATGAATATTAAGGACCTCTGATATCAGGTCCTTCGAGGATAATCAGATTGGTGTCTTGCATCTTGTTAGTATCCAAATCACGCCCAATTGAACTTATAATGGAAAAAGGACCTCACATACCTTGTACTTTCCACTGGTGGAGTAGCTGGTCTTCCACTTGACAGAGTAGTACCGGACCTCAGACGCCTTCTGGTTCTTGGTCATGGAGTTGTCGGCCCAGGAGACGCGTACCGAGTCGGAGGACAGAGCCACTGCTTGGACCCCTACCGGTGGGATCATGGGAGTGCTGGTGTCTGGCATGGGAGTGGGGTATTTATCAAAGAGGTGGAAGAGGTCATCCTCAGAGGGGTCAATGGGGTCTGAGGGGGGCATTGATGGTAACCATGGCGTTTTGGGATAATTAATGAAATCATGGGTGTATTGAAGAATGTGTTGTAATGAAGATTTGTACACGAGGAAGAGTGGCACAAGCATTTGTTCAGAAAAATAAGTTTGTGGTTACCAAGAATGAAAAGAAGAACAGGATAAATACATAAGGTGACGTGCGAGTTTGGGAGTGACATGCAGCATGCGGTTATGCGATTTGAGAGGTTAGATTGGAAGAGAGTGGATGGATTTGGAAGTGAAAAACAGGAGAGAAAAGAGAAGAACAAAGGCAAACGATAAGAAGAAAGTCATTGTTAACAGAACGTAGAGGCTCAGATCCACAGAGACGCAGGGCTTAAACTAAAAGCTGGACGACAACACCTGCAAGTCCAGACCTTTTAGGGTTTAAACATTTCCAATATCCATCAATATTCTCTACTCTTCTTTGAGTTTTCTCCAACTGCAGTGGTTTAAGTTGCTTATATCCATTGTATGATTAAGTTGGACACTCCTGTTCATGCAGCACATGAAAGCAGGACAGAAAAGAGCATGTTAGCAGCCCACATGTACAGCAGCTGCTAAGAGCTGAGTATTGTATACCTGCCAGTACTTGTTATCCCATATGTACGAGCAATTGATGTCAAGGCATGCAAATCTCTGCAACTACTTTGGTAAGTAGAATTGTATCATTATAGCTGAAAATGAGGGCTACACAGCTATGAAAATAAGACTTCAGATTGGTGCTTTTGCCTTAATGGCCCATGAAAATAGTTCTTACAAATATAAACCAACATTTGAAGAGCAATCTCTGATAGCATCGTATGTAAATTCACCTCATGAATAATGCATTCCTTTATGTGCAAACAACGATAACATGCTTCACATTGCAGATCTCAATTATTTATCACTTGCAGATGGATTGAGAATTCATCGCATGTGAAGTCGCCTTTTACATCGAATTCACATGAGAGTTTGAGATACAAGCTTGCCATCTGGCACTGTATTGTTATCCAGGCTTTATATCTGTTCACACAATGTTGGCTTCTGTATATTTGTACAAATGAAACCCATCTGTGTGGATCTGTGTCTCCAGCCATTTAGAAAGTAGATGCTGCCTTCAGGTGCTTCCAGAAATACAGTCGATTGGAGCATGTTGGTGGGAACCAAACCAACACCATTAAAACAAACAAGAACGTCTTTATTTTTGGGAGTAAAATTAGCAAGCAGTAGAATGGGTTATGTTCTTTTGTCACGTAGCATCTTTTCACCCCACAGGATCATTAAATGTAAAGCTGGAGGAGCACTTGAAGGAAGCAGAACATGAAACAGACACTGACAGAGAGCTGGATTGAGCCAACAGAGAGAATAAAATATAAAAGTTGCTCTGCTGATTCCAGCCCTGAGCTCTCTGATCTACGGATAGTCAGACCTATTGGAAGCAGAAACACAGTTAGTGACAGAGACAGTTTTAAATGAACACAGATTCACTAAATCGCTAAGAGGAAGGGCAGCTCTATTAAAGGTGTTTGTGTTGCATTAAGTAAATTTTATTATACACAGCACATGAAATAATAGACCTAACAGCCTCTCTCATCCTGGACAAATGAGAGTTAGATCTGACTCATGGAAACGCCATGTTCTGTTTTGAATGCTGACCTTCTGGCCCTTACAGAAATCTCTATAACCAGATAATCAAATACATGCAGAATCTGGGACACAATTTTGGTTGTCTGAAGCATTCTTTCATTCTAATACTTTGGTTGAATGCAGGAAATCAGTAATGAAGAACGCAGTGACCCAGCTACCATCAATGGCTAACTTAACTAGAAAGAGACATCTGCACGGGGCCAGAAATTAGACTTTTACCCTTAGCCATTCACCACATGGCATCCCCCAATCTCTCATCAATGTGTCCAACCTCTTCACTGCTGTTCTTTAATTAAAGGCTTGAAAAGCCACTTATCTCAATAACTGCAGCTTACAATCTGAGGTTCGACATTGTCTCGACACTCCAACTTCATTCTTTTTTTTTAAACTGCTAGTTGGACTGTAAATAAAGGCAACACATACAGTATGTGAGACAGTCTTGGTCAGAACTCTTTTTCAAAAAGTTTTCAAAAGTTGGCTCTCGCTTAGCCATTGTTAGACAATAGCCAAGGGGTTTAATGACTGCCTTAACATTAAACTGCTAAGCATGATCACAACCTGGTACAGAAGAGATGGTTGTCTGGACAGATCATTTCTATGTTGATAACATCCGTTTTCATTTTATAAAGGTTAAAACTTATGCATAAAATTTGATAATTATGGGGCGGGCTAAGCTGACTGACAGGTGGAGGTATATTAGTTTTTTGCCAGGATGCTTAAGGCCCACCTCAGCTCCACCTCCTCGCCGGCTTTCAATGGGTTTGAAAATGTCTCTTTAGAATATACTGTAGTTGATGTCAGTGAGACTGCGTCCATGTTTTATACAGTCTATGGCTAGAACTATCCAGTCAGTGGATGTAGACATCTATGGGTATAAAAGGGACAAATCACCTTAGCCTCAATGTCAACTATCAGCTGGTTATAATGACAGGAATGGAGCCTCAAGATCAAGTTCCCATCAATTAAATGATGACTAAAGCTAATAAAACAAGCAGAGTTATTTGACTGTAACATTTAACAGGGTCAACCTCAGGAAAAAGCTATGGCATGATTTGGCTCACTAACAGAAATTAAGCTACTATGTTTTTTTTTCTTCTCATTTTTAGACTCTGATTTGATATTTTTGCACCTGAACATAAAACACTCGTGGTCTCGACATTCAGCACGAGGTCATGTGACGGCAGCATCCGTCCTGCTCACCGTGTTTTGTCTGCAGTCTCAACGAGACACCTGAGAGAATCAACACTGACATCTAATGTGTTGCTGTTCAAGAGAGATGTACAGCTGCAGGGGATGAAGCAGACAGAGAGACTGATGAGAGAAGGAGAGAGAGAGAGAGAGAGAGAGAGAGAGAGAGAGAGAGAGAGAGAGAGGGATTGATGAAAGAGGTGTTTGGAGCTGCAGGGCGAGCTGCAGCAGCCGGTGTCGTGGTTAAACTGGTGGTCCAGCATCACAATAAAGCTCAAGTCAGGACAGAATACTGATGAGGATGGAGGACACGCCTCCTCCTCCTCCGCCTTTTTTCTTCTCCTGCATGAATCCCTTATTCTCCAGCCTGACATTCCTCCTCCATCTGCTCACTTTTTGGCCCTCCTTTCCACATTTTCCGCTCCACCCTGTTTTTCTTTTTCACTTTCTCCATATCCTGCCTTGCTCCCTCTTTTCCTCAGTCCTCCCTTACCTCACTCCCTTGATCCCTTCATCCTTAATCCCCCTTATATCACACATCTCCTTTTCCTCTCTGTTTCCTTTATTCCTCTTTCTATAACCTTTTCTCTGCATCACTTCCACCTTTTGCTCTCTCTCTCTCTCTCCATCATTTGGTATTGCTCTTCCTTTTCCCCCCTCTCTGTCTCCCTTGGTTGATTAAATGACAGCGTGGTGGTTGGTTGAGGATCAGTTCTGTGCTGTGCGGGCGGCGAGGCGAGGCGAGGACGAGGCAGTATATTAACGAGGATCCGACCGTTAACGAGGCCTTTTTTAAAGCTCTCGTAAAAAAAACTCTCCAGCAGCCTGCCGCAATAAAGTGACCCGAGCCAGCATGACAAGACAGAAAGTGTGTGTGTGTGTGTGTGTGTGTGTGTGTGTATGTGTGTGTGAGTCACTCTTGATGACCTTGTCAGAGTAGGAAGAGGTTTAGTTTCTGTTTCAGCCCTCAGGGTCTTGTCTTATCAACTCCTGACTGTCAGTCTGAAACTCTCTCTCACAACACAACTCCACATATTTTCAGATATCTATGCAGAGCTCCAGGTGTGTCATTAACGTCTGTAACACAACAGGTGTCGAATCTACATGTAGAGTGTTTACATGTTTCATTTTAAAACATCGGTCCACATCCGACTTCCCAGGGTACCCGGTGTCACTGATGTTGCATGTTCATGAATACTCAGGTTTAGACTCTAATCAGCACTCACACCGCTCAGACAGATTGTGGTCGTATTGTAAAATTTGCTTCCATGTGATATTCTGTTCAAAGTTTTTTCCTGGTATTATTTGTGCAAGGATGTAAAAAAATAATCCTTTACTATGATGATAGCGTAGAAACCTTTTTGTAACAAGCATTCATGTTGTTTCTCTTGGCATTTACAGCTATGCATCAGAATAAGTTTAATAATTATGCTGCCTCCGTTTAATGCCGTTTAATGCTCACATTGAAAGCCCTCAGGTGACGATAGTTCTGTATGAAAGCCTTTTACAATCCCCTGGAGTGCAGAATATGCACACTGTAATGTGGTGCTAAGCTATTTGCACTTCTGTGCAGAGCTGCACGCTGCCTATAATCTTCTCAATGGCTGTGTTTTTTTCTTCTTTTTTTAAATCATTTTGTTGGTAATGGCAGTGCTTAGGCTTCCAAATATGTCCATAACTTCTTCATGTTTAAATGTTTAAATTTGATTCCTAAATATTTCAGCCTTTTTCTTAAAAAAACTGGACACTGATATTCGCTTGTCAGAAGGCATGAGGTCATCATTTTAGGATGATTCGGATGTATGAGTAGTTTTATGAATCAGAGAAAAGGGAGGCATTGTTCTACATTTATTTTGGATTTTATTCCTTTATTCTGGTAGGACAGTGGATAGAGAAGTGTGTCTAATTCTTGTCTAAAGATCTCCACGTTAATCTACAAATCTTTACCTCTGGACGTGTCTCACCTGTTTGGTTCACTTAAAACAAACTCAAGACCATTTGGGCTTGTGTGAAAGCTGATGCGGACCAAACAAATGGGGTGAGTCTGCTTGAAAAGATGGATCTCTGTCTCCCTTTTTTTAAAACTCTGGTGAGGTTTGTTTGTAGTGAGAACATGAACTGACCTCGCCCGACCTAACTGCAGGAAGAAACCGTCTGTTCTGGGATTTTTCCTGCAGGATATGCCGACCAATCAGAGAGCATTTTCCTGACACATTGCACATTTTGGACCGCTTGTAAAATGTCTCCGTGTGAACACAGACCAAACTTGCAGCAATTGAACAAATTGGTCCACGATTCAGACCAGAGCAAACGATCTAGAGGTGTGAAAACGCCCTTATTATTGCCTGAAATAAAACCTGACACGTTTCTAGAACTCCAGATGTTACATATTCCTACAGACCCTGGATGTTTTTAAACTCCTCCTAATGTCTGTATCTGGAGACTTCCAGATGTGTCTACAAATCTTTATACCTCCACATTCAGAACTTAGGACACACATCTAAGCAATCCAGATGTTTTCCCTGCAGGTTGTATTTTGTCTGTGTCTCCGTCCTTTGGCACCAAACTTTCATTCTTTCCTCCTCTCTACATCCCTCGCCCTCTCTTATATTCTCCTCTCCATCATCATGCCCACTTTGTCTCCTCGCTCATCTCTTTTCTCTCCTTCTTGTTAATTTATTTTCCTTCCTCTGCCTCCCTCCTCCTTCCATGAGCTTTTATTAAAGTCCATCAAATGTCTCTCTCTGCCTCTTCTGCCCCTCCCTCAGTGAACCTCATTCACCCCCTCTCTTCCTCATCACTGTATTGTTCCTCTTTTAAAATAAATCACAATCAAAGACAAAGAGCATGAGTTAATATATATATATATATATATTAAAGTTTCTCCATGAAACATGTACGTGTAATGAAGGTTAAGAGTCCGCAGGAGAGCTGAGTGGTCTCTGCTGTATCATCACATCATGAGGGGGTGAAAGTCTCAGAAATGTGGCACTTTTATTTGAGTAATAAAGGATTTATGCCAGCTGCAGGCAGCCGGGTGAGCGGTGGAGGGCTGGCTGTTTAATTCATAAGATGAAACTTGGCTGGGAGTTGGATGTGTTTCATTTATCTCACTTCCACGACTCATAGTCTGCAGGAAGAGTCTCCCCCCCCCCACCCAGAAGTTTACTGAAACGTCTAATTACTGCGCAAACACAGCTACCAGTTTACTACATGTCAAACACACAGAGTCAGGCTGGGAGTGATGAATATTTCAGGACGCCGTGCTGTTTCATTGAGATCGAGCTCGAAACGTCAGAGTATCACTTTAAACAATTTCCTCCAGAATTAAGAATACAAGTTCAAACCAGAGGTTTCCATCGTGGGCTTTTCCCACAGCTTGTAAATATTAAAGACGTTGATTGGATCTGTTGAATATTGACAGAAGAAATCAAATATAGGATATCCCTGCTGTGATTTCTAACAGGGTTTCTGTGTCTACCCCTCGGATGGCTTCAGGGGATAATCCCTCGCTGCAGCTGACAAAAGCAGAACGTTTTATCTTTATCCTCTCTGAGTGGGTCCTACATTCATGAGAAAAGACATTACAACAGGACTCCACTGTTCATTTTCTCCTGCAGAAAAAAAGGTCCCCAATCTTTCTGTCATTGGAGCCCCCACCCCCTCCCTCTACATGGATCTTAGAAAAGCTTATGCAGCCTTTGAAAAAAACAACAGCTTTAGTGTCAAAGTCAAAATGAATTTAAATAGTTTTCACTGATTAAATCCCTTAAAGGTAAACTACCGCACACTGTCTCTATCTTGTAAACATTTTGTTGCCATCGTTTTGGTACTAGACCTTCATCAGGCAAACCCTTTGTCAAAATGGGCAGGACATCTTAAACAGGAAGTGGCTTCAAGCCTGCAACCAATCATCTTTATGAAGTCAGTGTTTGTCAATTCTGTGCATTTTGGTGACTAAGGATAAAAAAATGATATACGTCTACTTGTCCATTTTGAATGTTTCTGATTTAGTGTTGGGCTCATTATTCACTTTTTGGGACCTTCTGTGTCCTCTGAGATAAAATGATTGCCTCGTTAGGCTTTCGGACGTTTTTTGATGTATGTGCTCAACCAGGAAGCTGATGTTTATCTGTTTGTCGATTTGTTGATTCAGAGCTGACGTCATGACGATGATTGGTTGCAGGCTTGTAGCCACTTCCTGTTTAAGATGTCCCGCCCATTTTGACAAACGGTTTTCCTGATTAATGTCTTTGTACCCAATCAATGTTTGTGTGCAAGTTGCAAAACAGTGTTTTTGAGGGACACATTGCTCTCCTCCTCCTGTCTTTGGAAAAGGATGTGAGAAGGTTTTTGATCAAATTCAAACAGAATGGGCCACGGTTGTTCTTTTGTATAAACTATCCAGTGAGTGTGTTATTGTGATTTTATCTCATATTGAATTTCGACAGCCTCAGAGCAGACCTCGTGCCCAGCCTGAGATCTTTGGTCCCCATCCCCCTACAGGAAGGCCCAGACATCAGGCTGGGAACAAATGCTTTAATACGAGGTCCAGGATAGTATCATGACCAAGTGCCCCAAAGATGGCGGGTGGCACAGCTAGCACTCTGTGACTGCGTTACATTTTATCTGCAACTTAATAGGCTGAGAGAAAAGACTGCACACAAAAAGTTTTTATTCTATCACAGCGTTTCCACCATGTGGTCTTCTTCAGGTAATTATTGTTTCTCTTCTTAACTATGATCACCTGAAGTAGACCTTCTGCTCTTCATGCTGGTGCTACACTGTTATAAAGAATACAGAACCAGCATTGACACTAGAAATTAAATTACATCACTGTTATTAATATCGCTGCGGCCAAATGAGCGTACATTCCCTCCAGACTGATACGACACCTCTGCTACATTAACCGTGTTTGATCACATCCACACTGTAAGTAACTGCAGGGATCCTAATCAGTGAGACGTGTGTGACTGTACCTGTCAGAGATCGAGTGACGGCGCTCTCATACAGAGGAACTCCCTCTCCAGCGTTATTGAACGCCTTCAGGGAAATCACGTAGTGCGAGCTCGGCTCTGTGAGAGAAGGGAAAAAGACAGAGATATATTTATAGAGAGGGAGGCAACGCGAGTCATTCATCATCAAGTACAAAACAGAGCATTACCATGCTAAGAGGTAGCTGCTGAGATAATAATCGTACACGGTTTTCTTTCTCCTTCTTGAACGACAGCTGAAAGTTTTGCAGAAGCTTAGATTGTTGTTATGGTGATCATTTTCTTTAAAGGTTTATTTTTGGGCTTATTGCAGAGATAACAAAAAAAATGGATAGAGTCAGAAATCAGGGAGAGAGTGAGTGGGGATTATAACCCGGACCGCCTTCTTTGAAGACTACAGCCTCTGCACATGGGGCGTGAGTACTAACCACAACACTAACAGCGCTTTGGATTTGAACCTGGGCCGCCCTCTTGGAGGACTATTCCTCCGTACAGTGCGCCACCAGCGCCCCAGTTTTTTTTACTTTATACTGAAACAACAGCAAAAAAGGAGTTACGCTCAACAGTCAATACAGTTTCAAGTGCACGACCGCAACAAGACTAAAAAAGAAACTGAAAAGGCAGCACACTAAATGTGCTTCAACTTTCCTTTATCTGGGTAAGATGGAAGGCCTTCATCAGTGTTGGGGCACTTCATGCATTATACTCGGACACATTAGCAAAATAAAAAATATATAAAAAATATTTAGAAAAATAATAAAAATATATATATTTTTTTCATTTAATAATAATGATTCTGACTGATCCATTGTTTTGACGACACCGCTACACCAGAGATATATTTTTTTATGTTCAAAGAAGGTTCTTTTCACATTCCAGCAATTCAAAATAAATAAACAAAGGCACAAGGATATAATTGAATTTGATCATATTAAAAGATATTCATGCAGCGGTGTGACCCTGCGGCCACTCGGCGCTCTGATGCCATGATGCTGCATGTTCTCCGTATGCGGCGTCAAACCTTCATATCAGTTAAACAAACACGCTCGCTCTGCTCCCCAGACGCTTCAGCATGTGAATTAATGATCACCATGAATTATAAATGCCATGTACATATGTGCACTCGCTCCCATGTGTGCATGCAACACACCGTCTGGATTTTATTTTTTCATTACTCTTCCATTATGAGACCTGAGACGGGAAATTCCATCTGCGGATTTATAAAAAATAAAAATCAAGCAATTTGTTATTGTCTTCTTTGGCATGCAAATTGCTTGTTTCGCACGCTGGGGAGGATGTTTTCTCCTTTTCAACCTTTCACAATTAGATTTCCACCTCAAGCAGCTTTCTTATTAAATTCCCTTTAAATTATTGATTGTAATTAAATGGGGGGGATTTCATCATCATAATGAATTAATGCAACAGGGGAGCGCTGCAGCGTCAATATTGGCACTTCGTTGGCAGCAGACGCAGCTGCAGTTATGGAGGATGAAAATTTCAAATATTGGATTTGATAAGCATGTTGGAGACGTGAATTCATCGACTGATTAATTACTTTTTGTGAAAAGAGAAAATGTTTTGGATTCTGACGGAAAAAAAAGTGCAATTAATCCTCTGCTCATCTCCGTCGCTCCCTAAAGCAGAAAACTTTGACTCAAGAGGTCGCTGACATCACGTCACCTTCTGCTTTTAGAGGCACCAGAAGCTGATAAAATACATGAACATCTCATGGGTACACTTTAAATTGAGGTCACAATATTCAACAATAACTAATTCCTCATTAGCATGCTAATAAGTAGCATACTAGCTGCTTATTAGTCATTATTAAGGGATCATTCTACATGACCATCGTCTATAGCTAATAGGTTTAACATTATGATCTTCATATGACTTGCTTAGTTTGGCCTATAAGGTCAAAGTAAGCACCTCCAACCCCCTCCACTCGCTTTCACTTGAAGGCTTTTAGCATAAACGGCGGATAAAATTGTCCTTTGCTTGCAATGCAATTGCCTGTGGTCTGCATTGTTGTGTTAGCGTGCTAATGTTAGCGCTCTTTGGTTTACTCATAGCTTCCTATTGCAGATGAATTGGCACAGAATGACCGTTATCTTAAGACACTTATGTGACATTCAAATAAGTGGTGAGCTCCATTCTCTATTTCACCATCCATAAATATCCTGCACAATGCTTGTGACAAGGGTGGACAAGTGTGTTTCCAACATGTGAAATAAAAAAGTGAGTCAGAAAAATGTGTAATCACCACTTAGTTTGAAAATGCTCAGAAGTGTACAAGCACAGCAGACCTGTTGGCCAGTAAAATACTCAATGAATTATTTTTTGATGTTTTATAAATTCAGGTTTAACAATAATCCTGTTACACGTTAATGGGAATCGTTCTTGTCTATGGTTTTCCTCTTTATTGGCACTCAGTTAGCACTTTGCAACCTAGCTTAGCAGAAGACTAGAGGTCGACAATCTCTGAGCAAATCCTTACCGAGGTTTTCGATGGAGTAATATCTCTGCTTGCTGTCCACTCGGACCGTCTCGGCGTAAGGACTTCCCACTCCGTAGCCGATGATGTACCCTCGGACTAGGATGTTGGGGCTGAGGGGCGGAGTCCAGGACATGATGATGCTGTTGGGCAGCGGCCTGACGTGCAGAGAGCTCGGCTGGTCGGGTACCTGACTCTCTGTAAAAGACACAAATAATGAAACGTCACACCAACAAAGAAGATAGCAGGAGGTAGTTTGATTCCTAACCTCCAGCACAGGCCGTTTAAAGCTAACCCTGTTAGCAGCAGCAGTAGCAGGTACTTAAAGCAATTGGGCTAACAGATGCTAACCCTATTAGCTGTGTATTAAGCCCTAATAAGACCTGACACTTTGTGTGTTATTCCGCAGCATCAGATTAGATCAGATTAGGGTTCTCTCTGTCCTCAGGGGGAGACGCTTCATATCACTTTATTGAGTGATAATCCATTAAAATGAGATTTGTGTGTCCCTCTGCTGCAGCCTGGAAACACAGTTAGCATGGATGTGTTTGCTCTTTATCTCAGCAGCTTCCTGCTGACCAGGACATCCTCCACCCGAGCTCCCGCCTGAGGTCAGCCGAGCTCCCGTCTGAGGTCAGCCGAGCTCCCGCCTGAGGTCAGCCGAGCTCCCGCCTGATGTCAGCCGAGCTCCCGCCTGAGGTCAGCCGAGCTCCCGTCTGATGTCAGCCGAGCTCAGGTCAGCCGAGCTCCCGCCTGATGTCAGCTTTTCTAATTAGACTGCTCCAAATGATTAAGAGACGAAATCAAAGAGGTGTCCAAATGTTTGTTCCTTCCTTCATCCATCCTGCCCTCCTTCCTTACTTCATCCTGCCTTCCTTCCTGCCATCCTTTCTTCCTTCCTTCATCCTGCCTTCCTTCCTGTCATCCTACCGTCCTTCTTTACTTCATCTTGCCCTCCTTCCTTCCTGCATCCTGCCATCCTTCCTTCCTTACTTAATCCTGCTTTCCTTCCTTCATCCTGCCTTCCTTCATGCTGCTTTCCTTCCTTCATCCTGCCTTCCTTCCTGTCATCCTTCCTTCCTTTTTTCCTTCATCCTGCCTTCCTTCCATTCTTCCTTTCTTTCCTTCCTTCCTTCCTTCATCCTGCCATCTTTCCTTCCTTCCTTCCTTACTTAATCCTGCTTTCCTTCCTTCATCCTGCCTTCCTTCATGCTGCTTTCCTTCCTTCATCCTGCCTTCTGTCCTTCCTTTTCTTCCTTCCTTCCTTACTTACTTCATCATGCTTTCCTTCCTTCCTTCCTTCATCCTGCTTTCCTTCCTTCATCCTGCCTTCCTTCCTTTCTTTCTTCCTTCATCCTGCATTCCTTCCTTTCCTTCTTGCTTCCATACTTCATCTTGCCATCCATCATTCCTTCCTTCATCCTGCCGTCCTTCTTTTCCTCCTTCCTTTCTTTCAGACTCCACTGCCTGCAGCTCTACTGTTGAATTTAGATTTGCAGTATTTGTCTCACCATCTCTGCAGTTGTTGTCTGAATATGTTTAAGTTCGATGATGCATCATCTTTTTGTTTAGGTTTGCAGTTGAGTCAGTTGTTTTAGCTTTTTGCTTCACCTTTTTATAAATCTAAGTCGTTTGGCTGTTGCAGAACATCAGTCAGTCACTTTCCTTTTTTACTAGAGTAGTGCTGTAGGCAACATTTCCCCAAATTTGCAGAAGTCAAGCCGCCTTGAATCTAAGGCCAAACGACGGTCTTTGAGCAACAACTGCATTCAGCTTTTTTTCCCAGGCTGAGTCAGACTGTTAAATATTAAACCTCTCCTTCTCTGAGCCTCAAAATAATGTAAAAGTCTTCAGTTTCTCTTGACTATGGCACCGTAAATCAGTAAGATTCATTCGGTATGAAGAATATTCAGCCCCTTATTTTCACATTTCTTCATTAATTTCAGTTATTTAAGTCTCCCCCATGTCTCTTATAAGTCGTCTGTTTTGATCATCCTCTGCTTATTTCAAAATGCAGCAACACATTTTTATCCCGTCAGATATATATCTTTTTCCTTTTTTTCTCCTTCCTCTCTCTTCCACCTCCCCCTCCTCTTCCCGACCTTCTCTCTCTCTCTCTCTCTCTCTCCCCCCCCCTCATGTCTCCCCTGAGGCGAATCTTCCCTCCATCTATCCATCTCAGCGCTCGACTGGTTAAATATTTATGTGAGTGTTGGGAGAGAGGAGGTATTTACATGCTGTTGTACAAATCACTGCTATCTCTCAGTCTCTCTCTCTCTCCACACACATTTTGACACACTCACACACACACTTTGTGTCACTTCTTACCGTCCAGGTCGTTCTCCGGAGTCTCAGCGTTGAACCACTCACTGGCTGGACCTGTTCCATTCGCTGTCATGGCTGATACCTGGAAACTGTACTGACTGCCCTTCTCTAGACCTGAGAGAGAGAGAGAGAGAGAGAGAGAGAGAGAGAGAGAGAGAGCCATTATAACCAACTGTGCTTTTACTGCAATCATCTCGACATGTCTACACACACATAATGCACCCCCCCCCCCTCCCACTGCAGGAGCTTGGGCTCAAACCCCCAGACCTGCCGGTTGAAAGACAGCCGATTCTACCACTGAGCCACAGCCATAATGTGACACATCCACAGATGATAAGGATGACTGCATAGATACTTCACAAGGTTTCTGATGGTGTTGTTTGCTTTACACAGAGGCATGGGTTATTCATTCAGAAGCCCCTCAGAGTAAGTTTTAATAATCATTTGTGTTTTTCTAACTTGGTGCTGGAAGTGCAAAGCCGGATGCAGCCACATTCTCTCAGAAAGTTTTTCCATTTGAACTCATGACTCATTAATCAGAGATTTGTTCTATGATTGAGCTAGAGAGCAAATAGACGAGTTTAAACCGTCAGATTGAATTTTCCTCACACTGGAGGTGTTATTATCCTCTGACAGCTCCGAGTCTGCGGAGAAGTTAAACTGAAGAGTCAAATTAAAGTATTATTAAAGGTTTATGTGTAGTCCTTTAAGCTCTGCACTGTTTTATCCCAGTTAATGAAAATCACTTCCTTACTCTCTCTCTCTGTATGAAGGGACTGATTATTGCTGACAGGCAGGCTGCAGCGGGACAGATCAGATACAACACACACACACACCCACACACACAAACACACAAACACAAACACACACGCACAAACACAAACACACATGCGCGCACACACACACATACAGACAAACACAAACACCTGCCACCAGGGAATGAATTCCTGCGCAGACGGACGGATGAAGATAACCATCAGAGGAAAATAATGAAAAGACAGATCAGTTCCTTTCAAATCCTGCAAAAGCCAAATTGAAATAATAGCTGGTGGCAGTTTGAATGCACACACACACACACACACACACACTCACACACACACACACACACACACACACACACACACACACACACTCACACACACACACACACACACACACACACACACACATACACACAAACACGCATATGCAAACTCATGCAAATGTTAAAACCAACATTGACACATAGAGATACATGCATAAAAACAAACAGACTGAAGTCCAATGTGTTATATGTACACACACACACACACACACACACACACACACACTCTCTCTCTCACACACACACACACACACACACACACACACACTCACACACACACACACACACACACACACACACACACACACACACTATCTCTCTCACACACACACACACAGTGGGGATTTGCATCCTGTTTTTCTCTATTTGAACGTTCATGTCAGACGACTGTCAGCCTGCGGTGATGTTTGGTGAAAACAGTCGTCTGTGTTTTCCTTAAATCCCTGAAAATGAAATTACAGTCTGGTTCAATTTAATGCAGATTTCTTTCTTACTTTCTTTCTTTCTTTCTGTCCTTTTGTATTGTTTGCTTAACTCACATTTTACCAACCTCATTTGGAAGAAAGCATTTGATGCCAGCAGTAAATACTCTTATAACAAGAATCTCTGTGCATTAAATCTGATTTCTCTGTGCCTCAGAGCTCCGCTGATGTTCTACCAGCAGATCCTCCACAGAGCACATCATGTACTGTAATCCGCCGCTGAAAATAGTCCCTAATTTTTGCACTATTCAGATTTTTTTTAATAGCATACCAAGAGCTTCAGGAGCCTCCTAAATGGAACATGGTTATTTAAGTACAATTATATGTCACTGTCTTGTCTATCATTTTATTTATTTATTGACTTGGATGACATGGGAACATTGTTTTGTTTTATGAGTCATTGCGACTTGCAGCTAGCTTAAAGGTATGGCAAGTAGGTGACCACATCATAACTGTCTCCCCATCCTCAGTGTACCCGCTTCAAACATTTTCACCTAAAAAGCGCTCCACAACCTGGCTGACCCCCCCCCCCCCCCCCCCTTCACCAGTACACTCCCGCCCGCACTCTCAGGTCTGCTGACACAAACCTCCTGCCCCCCCGCCGCAGGACTAAATCACAGTCAACCTACAAAGTCTCACCTGTAAACAGGTACCAGAAGTTGTTGGGTTCGATGGCCTCTTGGTCTCCACGGCGACCGGTCTTCCTGTACTTGATCTTGTAGGCGGTGATGAGACCGTTTTGGGAGCTGGGCGGAGGCGGCTGCCATGACACCTTGATGCTCTGAAAGACAAAGAACAAAACAAAGAAAACGAATAAGTGAAATGACACAAATCATCTTTTCTCATGAGGGCAATATGAAACATTGCTCTGTAACCAATAGGAAGGCTGAATGAGGAACCGTGTCCTTCATTAAACTGGGTTTTCGATCCCCATAGCGACAGCCACCTACTTTCATAAGAGCACTTTAACGTTCACTGTGTCTCATTTTTGGTGTACAGCATGACTATAAATCTACAGTCTGCAGAGGCTCACCTGCTCTTTGTCCACTTTCTATTTCTGTTCAGATGAGTTAGATAACAGGTTGCTGTCTGTGTTTTTTCATCGAATCATTCTAGTGAAATGCTGCAGGAGTTTCAATTTCCCTGACGGTTTGTGCATCACATTTATTTTTATCTATACTTGTATGAGTTTGCATCTGTGTGTGCGAGTGTTTGCTTGATTGGGTGTATGTTGCATGAATTTTAATTGCTTTATTTGCATGTTAACAACCCACCTCTGACAAACACACACACACACACACACACACACACACACACACACACACACACACACACGTAGCAGATGTTTGCTCGGCCCCCAATGTGCTCTACTATGTGAGGCAGCTGCCATCAACCATTCTGCAGAAATACTCAGTGACCCTGTGTGTGTGTGTGTGTGTGTGTGTGTGTGTGTGTGTGTGTGTGTGTGTGTGTTTTATGGAAATTAATAAATGAAGATTAATGAATTAGAAATGTAAAGTGATCTGATGCATCCCTCTCTCTCTTGTTTGCTCTCTCTCTCTCTCTTTGTGCACTGATGCATGCAAACAGGTAATGTAATAAACCTTTCCAACATGTGGTTCCACATCATTCCTCTGATGGACAGAAAGATGCATCAGTGTGCCAAAAAAAAGCAGAGAACATGAACAGAAGAAGCGAGTGAGCACGGGTGTTAAATGGTGATTCTTTGGTTTTTAAAACGGGGCCTGATCTACTTTATCATTTTTAAGGTTTTTATGATCTGTAGGTACAGAAAGTTTCCGCAGTAGACTGCTTCAGCCTTTAAATAGTAAAGGGACTTGAGCTTGTATAGTGATTTTCTCGTCTTCTACAATAGACATGTAAGGTGCTGTATCACTTTTCTTAAGCGTCACCAGACTACATGGACAAGAACAGTGATTTAATGTTGCAGAACACAGGAGTTGCTGCTCTTTCTCCGTCTCAGTTGGTTCGTTTTTTTTATGTCATTGTGTGAAATCAAGTTTTGGATCCTAGAGAAACTATTTAAATGACCGAACAAATACACAAACAGAAACTAAGGATCAGGAGAGAGGTCGAGCAAAACACCCTGTGTGCTCTGAGTCAAAGTTGCCGTTTTCTTCAGTGGAGTCTGGTGGCTTTAAAGAGAGCAATCTTATCCAAACAAAGGGGTCTAGCTCTGTAAGTATCCTCTACATCATGTTGTTAAAACGCCTGTTAAACACAAATGTTATGACCTTTAAGTCGCCTGAAGGACGCATACTGATGGTGCAAAAGAGGAATGTAATGATATTTATTTCATGAAAAGTATGCAGGTTGACTTTTAAAGTCTTCGCTCTCTGAATCCACTGCACTCATATGCATTGTTATGACATGTCTACACACACCACGCTGCTGCCTGAAGTACTCGTGGATTAATCCGCTGTAGAAAATAGTTTGAATACGATTCACTAACAACAACAGTGCCGAGCCTTTCTTTATGAAAGTGCAACAGTCAAACAAGGAAAAAGATAAACGAGCACATGATTGGCTTAGGTGGTCAGCACCTTGCATGTTTCTTTTGCAGTCAGCTTAATCTACTTTGAGCACTAATTCAAAATAGTGCAGTTAAATGTGTGTGTCCCAAAAGAAGGTGTGAAAAAAAGACACCTGGCAGCCAATCAGAAACCAGTATTTTCTGTATCAGTGTTAAATAAGAGCACAAATTGAAGTGAATTATCATGCAACACCAAACAGGCACAGCTCTGCACAGGCAGCCACCTACACGCGCACAGATTGTATCACACACTGTCACACATCTGTTGCTGGTGTCACATTAGCACACACAGACACACACACACAGACACACACAGACACACACACACACACACACACACACACACACACACACACACACACACACACACACACACACACACACACACACACACACACACACACACACACAGAGTCAGAGTGATGGTGTGTGTACGCCACCGTCAGCTGCTGTGTAAGTCATCGGGCCAACAAGCAGTTTAAATATTCAGCCAGTGTTACTGTGACGACGGCCACAGAGGAATTCATTAACATTTAGCTGCACCTGTTCCCTCTGCTGCTCCTCATCCTGCTAATTGATTACAGCAGAACTGATTACTGAGAGGGGGGTGGGGGGTGGGGGTGGGAGGGAGGGAAGGGTGAAGAGAGAGAGGGAGACAGGGCCAAATTGAATAAATGTGTGTGTCGGCCAAATTCCACCATACTCACTCTCTCTCGCTCTCTCTCTCTCTCTCTCTCTCTCTCTCTCTCTCTCTCTCTCTCTCTCTCTCGCTGTCTTCGTCTCTGGTCAGGCGTCACCGCGCGCTTCATTAACTAATTAGCCACTTTGACAGCACACAGTTGGATGTGAGGTCTCCATGGAAACAATACAGAAGTTAAATTCATGCTGGAGCAACTCCCACAGAGGGACAAGGCGGGGAACCATCCTCCATGAAGGAGGACAATACCGCCAACACACTCCACCTCAACTATAAGTACTACAACAATCCCAACAGGCTGCTATTAATATCAGGTCAACACAGCTACACCTCCTCTACTCCAAAGACTACTTTAAACCTCCCTAGACCGAGGAAAAGTACATTACCATCAAATGGCAACCGCTGTAGAAGAATGAAGCCAATGCAGAAGTACAATAGACTGCAGTTTCTCTGGTGTCCACTTGAGGCTAGCTGCAAATCCCATTGGGTCCCTGAATGCCTGTTTTATAGCAGGAATAAACATATTCACAGCCTTGATGAAAATACTTAAGTGGTATCAATAGCTTAGTTCTTTCTTTGTACAGATGTAGGGAGGGGTTGAATATTTTATAAATCACCTGTTTTGATTTGAGTAAGCCTAAGACTAATGCATACTTACAGGCTGACCGATAGATTGATGTGTTGTAGCTGTTTACCAGGAGGCTAAAGGTCTGCCTCAGTTAGGTTGAGCTAGCATTTCCAATATGTCAGATGCATTTGTTGGGTTTGAAAAAGTCTATGTATGGGTGACGTTACCCCACATATTCTGTCTGTCAGCTCCACGGTTTTGCTCAGTTGCTCCTGCCCCACTGGATCTGTTTCTGGAACGTGAGCACAGCCAAGAGCGGCTGTACACACATCACATGTGAACTACAAGATCGCGCGGGAATACAGGGAACAACGTACAAACAACATGTTGCTTTGTCTTTCTGAGCATGATTTTTTTATTCATTCGGTGTCTGTATATTGTGTTTTATTTTGCAATTGACTGGATGCTCTGTGCGTTTCCTCGTCTGACTTCCTGTCCGGATTGTTCTATTCTGTCCAGTTTGACACACGCCTGCAGCGTACTCCGTCGAAAATAGACTCGCAGCATTTTTGAAACGGAGCTGAGCGTAGTGGCACTGGTGGAGCGCTCAGGAGGTGGACTGCAACGCTAACTGTGGAAACACAATAATGGCAACAATAGTGGCAACGAACTACACCGTAGTGCGCAACGCTGATGGACCGCGGCGCGCACTGTGCAGTGTGTGTGAATTGGGGGTAAGACTACACCCATGTTTGATACAGTCTATGATTATTTTACAGTATACAACATGATATTATCTTCTATTGCTACTCTCTGCTAGAACTAATGCTAACACTCTAGTAAAAGTCCTGTTCATTTTCTCCACAGCAGATTTGATTATTAGTGATAACTTCCTGACAATCCAAAGAACACTGACTGTGAGCTGCCTGTGTGACACGTTGGTATATGCTCCTAGAAGACACATGTTTCAACCTCGTTTAAGTAAAAACATGATTTTTTCATGATCTCGGGGAAAAGAACTCCGCTACCCACAACATCAAATTGCCTTAAGGTAAAATAAATAGTTTGTTTTTTATTCCATTAATTTACACTCTTCAAATTTGTTCTTCTGTCAGTTTTTTCAGATGTGTTAGACTAAAGATGAGATGTAAACTATTGGTTGAAGTCCACCCTCCACCTTCCACCTGCTGCTAACGAAAGAGCTGAACCTCCCCCTGCTTTCTTCATTGGTTAGTAGAGTCAAATCCCCTTCACAGCGTTCATATAACTAAACGGGCTCTGTGGATCAATTAAGCCTGTTTCAGTCGTACTTTCTTCCTCCATGTAAATCAGAGGTGAAGTGGCCTCAGGCTCGACTGTAACACCGAATCATTTCTCCCCTTTTCTTTTAAATTTAAAGTCTGAGTGGAGCAGAAAGTGTGGGGAGCAGAAATCCCTCCTGCAGCTGCTTTGTATTCACATGTAGCTGAAATTGGAAAGCGCGCAGGGCAAGCGGAGCCGCGGCCTCATTCACAGCCTTCAAACGGAGACACGGAGACTCGGCCATTTTTAATATTCTCCCAGAGGACAAAGGGAAGATGCAGGGGGTGTGTATGTGAAAAGCTGATGGAGATCACACAGATTATAATAAGTGCTAATAATGACCAAAATGAGGGTGATTATCTTCAGAAGCATGGGCGACTGTGGGAAACATAATGAGCTTATAAACAAAGACAAGGCTGCTGGCAAATTAACTAATAATAAAAGGCCCCGCTAGAGTAGGAGCAACAGTGCTTTTAATAGTTACACTTGTACATATAACAACGTCGTTGCTGTTTCTCATGGCTTCATTAACAGGACATGATGGGGCTCATTATAAGAACACAATGCAGAACCAGCTGATGCCAGATTCAGAGAGTTTTGAACAAATGCTTCAAATATAAAAGACGTTCACACAAAAAATGTAAAGGGTCAAATGTCTAA